CGGAGGGAGAACGAGAGCGAGCTCCAACGACATGCCGGCCCCACCTCGACCTTCGCCAAGCGAGAGGCGCAACGCTCGTCGTCACGCCGGCGTCGCACTCGAGCCAATCCACACGGCCGCGATTCTCGCTCGAGCACACGCGCACGCTCGCACCGTGCCGGCTGCATCTCGCGCTCGCGGCGAGCCGGGGCGAGGTGCGAAGCGTCAGCGGCGACGCAACCTGCTCGCGCTGTCCGCATTGACTGCCGGCTGCGCTCGCGTGCGCTCCGATCGTCGAGTGCAAGCTCTCTCTCTCTCGCTCGAGCGGGTTATGCGGTGCGCAGCGCAACGAAGGAGGCCCGCGAGAAAGCGAGACCGGGTTCCGCAGCGGCGATTGGCTGGCGGGCGAGTTTGATCTGCGAGTCGACGATGCTGCTCTCGAAGGCCGCTTGAGAGGCTCAGACTGAGCGCACACAGTGGGAGCGTCATGGCAGAGTGTGCGGGGACGGTTTGAGCGAGGCGCCTCGAGGGGGTGAGGCGAGAGGCCTGTGCGCTTGCGCTCGCTCGCCCGCAGCGTGCAGTTCGCTGGCGACGCGAGAGCTGCTCTCCTCGCGGCGACGGTCAAGGTACGAGAGACGACTAAGGAACGGGCACGTCGTATTGCACGAGGCGGCTGGGCCGAGGAGGTCGCGCTCGCTCTCGCTCGCTCGACGAGGAGAGCTACGAGGGGGGATAGGCATGACGCTGCCAGTTCGCCGAGCTTCCGTCTCCCAGTGAGCCCGCACGTAGATTGTGGCGAAAGGACGGGGGCAATCGATGTGCGGCGAGACGGGCGCTGGAAGAGGGAGGGCTGCTCTAGAGAAAGTGGTCGCTGGCGAGAAGGCGAAGTAGGAGACGGCGCGACGGGCCGAGGTCGGCCCGATGGAGCACAGGCGGGAGAAATGATCGTGTCGACGGCTGTTGGGGGGCTGCAGGTCGCTGAGGCGGGAGGGGAGCGTCAGTACGAGACAGAGGGCGACGTCGCGAAGAGGCTCGAGGAGCGAGGACTCACCGAGCGATGAGCCGAAGGACTCGCCGAAGCTGCGCGGCGGCTTGTACACGTAGCAAGGTGGCCAAGGCAAGAGCATCGACCCAGGAATGAGAGCAAGAGGGTAAGAAGCGAGAGACCGAGCGAGGCGAGCAGAGATCCAGCTGGTTGTCACGCGTCACACGCTGCGAGTCGGACGAGCGGTAGAGCCGTGCAGGACTCATCGCTAGTGACTGTGCCCGGGCTCAGCGAGGCGAGCGAGGCCGAGGTGCCGCCGAAGGAGGGTGGCTCGGTGGAGGAGGAGGAGAAGAGGGAGCACGGCCCGAGTGAAGCGGCGCGCGGCAGCCGGTGTCGCGTGCAGCCGATAGCAGGGAGCCTGGCCCTGCACACGCGTGCCCCAGGCGGCGAGATGGGCGAGGGAGGAGGAGGTCGCAGCTGGTTGACGCGCTCCTGCTCTTGCCGCTCGACCACGACCACCCGACCCGGCCTACACAGCTGCGCGTGCAGCGACACCGCCCGGCACCAGCGGCCACCACCGCCAGCCACCTCGACCCGGCCCACCGCCCTCGCCCCCCTGTCCTGACCCCGGCCCCCCTCGTCCTCATCGTTCAACCTCGAACCTCGACCTTCTGACGACTCGACAGCGACCGAGCACCAGGCCACCACCGCCGAGCCAGCCTGCGCTCTACCTCGACCCCGCCACAGCGCCTGCGCCTGCACCTCGTCACCCCCGCACCAAGCACGCTCCCTCGCCCTCGCGTCTTCCCCCCAGCTCGGTCCCCGTCCGCACCACCGCCCTCAGCACCGACCTGCACCAGCAGCTCACCCAGCCCTCTCACCTTCCCTATTCGTTCCGCCTGACCGACTCGAGGCCGCCGTCCCCAAGATCCAGCACTGACTCGCCCTCTTTGTCCTCGAGGTGCGTCCGTCGCTCTCTCTCTCGGCTCCCTCGTCCTCGACGCCAGTCGCAGAACGCTGGAGCCTGCGGGTGGACGTACGGCTCGTTCGCATCAGCATCGAGCGCAGTATGTCCTCGTCAAGCGGCCCGTCGCCTCGAGCAGCCCCACCTCGCTCCGCTCGAGCACCTCACTGATGTCCTTTGCGTACCCACACTTGCAGACTCGCAACAGCCGTATTGCCTCATCATGCACCGCACCCCCGACCTCGACCGGTCGCCGTCCCTGTCGTCCAACTCGTCCCGCGCCTCCTCCACCGGAACCCTCCCTCCTGTCACGCCCGCTCTCCCCGCCACCTCGACCTTCGCGCCCTCGTCGCCGAGCAAGCTCTCGTCGACCGTCGACCCGACGAGCCCTTTCGGCAGCGTCGGCGCCGGCGCCAAGTCGCCCTTCCCGCGCAGCCCGAGCCCGACCAAGGCGCCCTCGTCGCCCTCGCCCTGGAGCGCAGGCCACCGCACGGGCGCCGGCACGCGCTCGTTCGACACCGCACGCGCCACGTTCGCCAACCTCGACCAGGCGCAGGGGCCGGGCCCGGTGCGCGCGCCGAGCCCGACGAGGCGCCCGACGCCCTTTGGCGACTCGTCGAACCGGCCGCACTCGCCTGCGCCGGGCTCCTCCTCGCCCACGCGCGACGGCGCCCACTCGCCCTCGCGCTCTGCCGCCTACCCGGCCGCGCCGCCGTCCCCAACGCGGTTCGGCACGCCCGGCTCGCCGACGCGCAGGTTCCACTCGAGCGCGTCGCCCGTGCCCGGCGCGCTCACCGACCGCCCGTCGTTCTCGCCCGCACCGGGCTCGCCCGCGTCGTTCGGCTCGCCGCAAGTCGGTGGCGGCGGCGGGAGCCCGTCGCTGAGCGGCTCGGCCTCGGCGCGCGTCCTCTCGAGCGCCATCTTCTCGACGCGCGCCGACCCGGCCGTTCCCGGCTCGCCGGCGCTCGACCGCAGCGGCGTCGGGAGCGTCAGGAGGTTTGAGAGGGGACATCGGCGCGCCCTGACGCTGCCGCACCTTGGCGAGAACGGGCTGCCGCTCGGGCCGGGCGCGGGTGGTGCGGGCGAGGTGGGCGAGCTGGGGCAGAAGGTCGGCGGGTTGACGATTGACGAGGACGTCCCAGGTGCGTCGCAGGGTCCCTCCGCCTCTCACTTTGTCGCGCTGCATGCGCGCGGGAGCGAGTACTTCAGCGTGAACACGCCCTGACCTCGCGCCTCTCGCACAGGCCTCCCCGGTCGCGCTCGCCTCTCTCGTCCCGCCGAGTCGGCCTCGCCTTTCGCGCCCTCGGCCGTCTTCAACTCGTCGCACGGCGGCCTCTCTCGCGCCGCGGCCGGCCTCTCGCGCGGTCCACCCGTCCGCTCGAGCACGATGGCGCACCTCCTCCCGTCGCAGGCCGTCAAGGCCATCGACCGCCAGCGGCACGATCTCGTCGCGTACGAGTACCTGTGCCACCTCGCCGAGGCGCGCGACTGGCTCGAGACCAACATCGTGACGCGGTCGAGCGCGAGCGCACCCCTGTGGAGGAGCAACTCGATCAACGACTTTGAGCAGAGCTTGCGGAACGGGTACGCGCTTGCGCACCTCGCGAGGAGCCTCGGTGGGCCGGCGTGCCAGGGCCCGATCTATGCCGTGCGTCGCGGCCGTTCTCTCTGTGTCCCTCGTCGCTCGACGTGAGCGAGACCTGACCCTCCATGTGCGACTCGCGCGACGCAGGATCCCGAGCGGCACTTTCGCCACACGGTCAACATCAACCTCTTCTTCCAGCTCGTCAACGAGGTCGGCTTGCCCGAGGTGTGCCCTGTCTCTCTCGTCCTCCTCGACGACGTCGTCGTCGTCGTCGTCCCGTCGCTCACACTCACCCTCTCGCCCTCTCGCCCGCAGATCTTCCGCTTCGAGACGGTCGACCTGTACGACGCCAAGAACCTGCCCAAGGTCATCTACTGCCTGCACGCCCTGTCGCACCTCATGGCGCGCCGAGGGCTCACGTCCAAGATGCACGACCTCGTCGGTCAGCTCGACTTCACCGGTGCGTCCCTCCTCCCTCTCCCTCCTCCTCCTCTCTCACTCGCTCGCCGTCGTCCGAGCCGTTCCCTGACGCACGCGTTCTCTCGCACCCGCAGACGACGAGGTCGGTGCCGCGCAAAAGGGCCTCAACGGCGTCCGCATGCCCAACTTCCGCGGCATCGGCAAGGCGCTCGACAAGCACGAGCCGCCCATCGTCGAGGAGCCAGAGCCCGAGTCGTCCGAGGACCGCACCCGGCGCCTCCTCGCCGAGGCCGAGGGCGGCGTGCGCGCGCTCCAGGCGGTCGCGAGGGGCGCGCTCGCGCGGCGGGCGGCCGAGCGCGAGCGGCAGCGGCTGAGGCTGCTCGAGCGGCGGCGCAGGGAGGAGGAGGCGGAGCGCGAGAGGGTGCGCGTCGAGGAGGAGGAGCGGCGCAGGGCGCTCGAGGCGGCGGAGGAGGAGCGGCGGCGAGCGGCCGAGGAGGAGGCGCGGCGCAGGGCCGCAGAGGAGGAAGCCCGGCGCGTGCGAGCCGAGGAGGAGGCGCGCCGGGTCCAGGCCGAGGAGGACGAGTGCCGCCGCCGCGAGGAGGAGGAGGCCCGTCTCGCCGCCGAGGAGGCCGAGGAGGAGCGGCGGTACCAGGCGGCGGTGCAGGAGGCGGCCCGCACGCTCGTCGGCTTCCAGGCCCGTGCGCGCGGCGAGCTGCAGCGCCGCCGGCTCGACGCCGACATGGCGCGCCTCACCCAGGTCGAGCCGCACGTCACCGCCTTCCAGGCCGTCGCGCGCGCCGCCCTCGCTCGCCGCGCACTCGGCGCCACGGTCCGCGAGCTGCGCGCTGCCGAGCACGGCGCGACGGCGCTCCAGGCGGCGTGCCGCGGCGTCCTCGCTCGGCGGGCCCTCCTCGGGCGCATCCGCCACCTGCGCTCGACCGAGGGCTTCGTCATCGGCGTCCAGGCGCACGTCCGAGGGCTCCTCGCGCGCCAGGCGCACGCGTCCAAGGCGCGCGACCTGCGCCGCACCGAGGTCGTGCGCTCGATCGGCGGCTTCCAGTCGGTCATGCGCGCCGAGCTCGCCCGGCGGCGCGTCCAGACGCAGCGCCAGGAGCTCGGTTTTGTCGAGCCCGACGTCGTCGGTATCCAGGCCCAGACGCGAGGGTACCTCGGCCGCAACGCGTTCCTCGCGTGGAGCGACCACGTCCACCGCAACGAGCCGACCGCCGTCTGGCTCCAGGCCATGCTCCGAGGCGTCCTCGCCCGCCGCCGGTACAACGACCTGCACCGCCACTTCCACCACAACATGAGCCAGGTCGTGCGCCTCCAGGCCGCGATCCGCTCGCGCCGTCAAGGGTCGCAGTACCGCCAGCTGCGCAAGGGCACCAACGTCCCGGTCGGCACGATCAAGAACTTTATGCGCCTCCTCGATGACTCGGAGTTCGACTACCGCGGCGAGCTCCAGGTCGAGTCGCTGCGCAAGGAGCTCGTCGGCGCCATCCGCGAGAAGCAGGAGCTCGAGGAGGACGTCAAGGACCTCGACACCAAGATCGCCCTCCTCGTCAAGAACAAGATCACGCACGAGGTCGCGCGCGCCCAGCGCTCCAAGCTCGGCACGCTCGCGCCCCTCAAGCGCAGCTCGCTCCTGTCGGCCGCCAACGACCCGTTCGCCGGCGGCCAGCTGGACCACCACACTCAGCGCAAGCTCGAGCTGTACGAGCAGCTGTTCACGCGCCTCCAGACCGAGCCCCAGTACCTGTCGCGCCTGTTTGCGCACTCGGGCGCGCTCGGCCTGAGCGACAAGGCGCAGAAGGCGGTCGAGTCGATCACGCTCCTCGTCTTCAGCCATGCCCAGGGTCACCGCGAGGAATTCCTCCTCCTCAAGCTCTTCCAGGTGCGCCCTCTTTCCCCCCTCTTTCTCGACTCCCTCTTTTGCGTCGCCGACTGACCGCTCGTCCGCGGCCCTGCAGCGCTCGATCGAGGAGGAGGTCGTCAACCTGCCCAACCTGAGCGCCTTCATTCGCGGCAACTTTGCGTTCCTGCGCCTGTTCGTCAACTACGGTCGCGGTGTCAACCAGCGCTCGTACCTCGCCGACACGCTCGGCAACGAGGTCAAGGCCGTCATGGGCCGGCAAGGGCTCGACCTCGGCACCAACCCGGTCGACGTGCGTCTCCTCGCCTCGTCCCTCTCCTCCTCGTGTGCCCCCTCCCTGTTCCTGACCCTCTCGTCCTCCGACCCTCACGCAGATCTACCGCAACGTCGTCGCCGAGGAGGAGATGCGCACCGGCCGACCGTCGCAGCGCCGCAAGGAGGTCGACAACAAGCACGCGCTCGCCGACCGCGAGACCAACACGGTCTTTATTCAGCGTGCGCCCAGCTTCTCTCTCACTCTCGATGTACTCTAGCGGCATGACCTGACTCGCCGATTCTCCCCCTCGCAGACCTTCTCGCTCTGCGCAACACGACGACGGCCTTCCTCGCCGCCATCTTTCACTCGACGCCGTCGATGCCGTTCGGCGTGCGCTATGTTGCGCGCGAGATCTTCCGTGCCCTGCGCGCTCGCTTCCCGCAAGAGTCCGAGGAGAACGTGCTGCGCGTTGCGGGCCACGTCGTGTACTACCGCTTCCTTCAGCCGGCCATCTTGTGCGTCCCCGCCCTCTCCCCTCTCTCTCCTCAGCGTGCCCCTTCCCTAACGTCAACGACCTCCTGCAGTGCCCCCGAGACCTACGACATCGTCGAGGGCGTCGTCCCGCCGATCCAGCGGCAGAACCTCGGCGAGGTCGGCAAGCTCCTGCACCAGATCTCGATCGGCCGCCTCTTCGAGCAAGATCAGGCGCACCTGCAGCCCATGAACGAGTTCGTCGCCTCGAGCTGGGGCAGCTTCCGTCAGTGGCTCTGCGACGGTCCGTCCCTCCTTCCCCTCGCCTCTTCCTCGTCGGCCCCCGTCCCTGACCCGCGCTTCCTCGTTCGCAGTCATCCACGTCGACGACGCCGAGACGCACTTTCACGCCGACGAGTTCTCCGAGGCGGCCGCTGTCCGTCGCCCCAAGATCAACATCACCCCGAACGAGATCTACGCCCTGCACAGCATCCTCGCCGAGCACCTCGACACGGTCGCGCCCGAGCAGCAGGACCCGGTCCGCCTCGTCATCGAGGAACTCGGCGGCGTCCCCGCAGGCGGCAGCGCCGAGCTCAACCGTGCTCGGGCCGACGCCATCGCCCTCACGCTCGCACCTCGAGTGCTCCCCGAAGAAGGTGAGCTGCCCCGCTCTCTCGCTCTCTCTCCCCTTAGCTGCCGCATCTCGAACCCGTCCTGACTCGATCGTCGTCCCAGATCCCGAGGCCGTCCAGAAGCAGCTCTTCAGCCGGGCCAAGCGTCGCGTCCTCGCCATCCTCAAGGTCCACCACGGCAGCGACCTCGAGGCCGTCCTCGCGCAGCAGGTGACCGAGGACGACGAGGACCTGTGGGCGCGTCTCGTCGACGAGGAGGACGAGGAGGAGCAGCGACAAGCGCAGGCGCAGCGCCGGCCCGTCGTCGTCCAGTTGGACGACATCCGCAAGTGCGTCGTCCCCTTTCCCTCTTCTCGCGTCGCCGTCCCGACCTCGTCCTGATCCTCTCTCTCCCATCGCCTGCAGCATGTCGTTCCAGGAGCTCAAGATGGCCACCCTGTCGGACATCCTCGAGCTGCGCAAGACGGGCCTCGTCTCGAAGAACGACAAGTACCAGGCCATCCTCAACGCCCTCGCTCGCGACATCCGCTCCAAGCGTGCGTCCCCCTTCCCTGTCTCTCTCTCCTCGAGCCCGCATTGACGGCGCTCGTCTCTGCAGACCACCGCCGCGTCCAGCGCCAGCAGGAGCTGCAGACCATGCACGCGACGCTGTCTTCCCTGCGCGACAACAAGCGGTACCTGAGCGACCAGATCAACTCGTACCACGTCTACATCGACCAGTCGATGGCGGGCATCCAGAAGAAGTCGTGCGTCGCCTGTCCTCCTCGTCATCGCCGTCGTCGTCGTCGTCCGCTCAGGCCTCGAGAGAAACTGACTGTCCTCGCCCGGCCGCTCGCAGGAAGAAGCGCCTCGTCCTGCCGTGGTCGATGCAGGCGAGCCACGAGCGTCAACTGGAGAAGGAGGGCAAGCGCTACGCCTTTGGGTCGTACAAGTACACGGCCCAGAAGCTTTACGACCAGGGCATCCTCCTGTCGATCGACCAGTACTCGCCGAAACAGTTCGACAAGGTGTCGATCACGATCAGCTCGGACGAGGTCGGCGTGTTCGAGGTCAAGGCGCAGTACATGGGCGTCGCCGTCACGACCGTCGAGCTCAAGCTCGAGGACCTCCTCGAGATGCAGTTTGTGCGCTCCCTCCCGCGCTCTCTTTCTGCTCTCCTTTTGAAGCCGCCACACTAACGTCTCGCTCTCCTTCTGCAGGTCGGCAAGCAGACGCTCTCGATCGGCGACGTCGCCAAGACCAACCTCTCGCTCATCATCGCCCTCATCAACCGCAAGTGCGTCGCCTCGCCCTCTCCTTCTCTCGTCCTCGCACAGAGAACTGACCTACTTCCTCTCCCACAGGTTCTACCAGTAGCTCGTCGTCGCCGCGTCGTCGTCGGCCTTGCTCTCATTTCGCCTTTCTTCTCCCAAGCCGTTCATCCCTTATTTCCCGCATCCCTCGCAGCGTTCTCGATACCCCTCCTTTCCGGCTCGTCTCGACCCATCCTTAGCGCCCCCTTGTTGCTGCTCTGTGCTGTAACGATCGCGTTCGTCTCTCTCTCTCTCCGCGAGGAAGCTCGAGGGCGCGACATGGACGAAGAGGCAAAGATGCAAGTGCGGAGGGGGTACAACTGCGAGGGGGCACGAGGACAAAGACGGCGAGGGGGTGCGACGACAAAGGAGGAGGAGGACGAGGGAGAGGGCCGAGCGCTAGCTGCGCGACCCGTCGTCGTCGTCGACGAGGGGCGGGACGGCGCAATCGGGCAGGCCGGCGGCCGCGTCCCTCAGCTCGGCGACGAGCGTCGTGTAGGCGCGCTCGAGCGTGTCCCACAGGTGGCGGTCGCTGAGCTCGAGCGCGTGCGCGTCGAGCCACACCTCGCGCACGCGCATGAGGCGCACGAGGAGCGAGTCGAGGACGGGTTGCGCCGAGTCGGGGCGCGGCGCGCGAGGGTCGAAAGGGCGGGTCGGGAGCGTGTCGGGAGGGGCGAGGAGGGCGTTGAGGAGCGAGGCGGCGCTGCCGTCGTGGAGGAACCGGTGCAGGAGGGGCCAGGCGGCGCGGCAGGGGATGGCGAACGTGACGAGCGGGAGGAGGAGCTCGTGGCCCTCGGGTGCGGCGCCTGCGACTGGCGGCTGCGGGTGACTGTTGAGCGCTGCGTCGCCGTCGTTGTGGGCCGAAGACGGCTCGAGGACGAAGCGCCGGCAAAGTTGGGGGAGGAGGGGCGACTGGAGCGCCCACAGGAGCCCGTGCACGGGCGTGCGGTACCGCTCGTCCGTGTCCTCGAACTGGAGCTCGAGGAGGTGCGTCGGGAGGGGAAAGGGTGCCGGTGGACGAGTGCAGCGCACGAGAGGATAGGGCGACGCAGGCGTCGAGAACGGCGCGTTGTGCTGCCCGCCCGTCGCCTGACTCGCCTGCACGAGCGTGTGCGCTGTGTGAGGGACCGGTGGGGCTCTCGAGTCAGTGCGTGGCTCGTCGTGTCGAGGGCTGAGAGAAAGAGAGAGTGACGAGAGAGAGAAAGAGCGCCGCTTACCCGAGTTGTGCAGCGCCGCGAGCGTGAACTCGAGCGTCGCGCCGGACTTGGCCAGCTCGTCGTCGACGTCCAACTCGTCCATCTGGACCGGCATAAAGTCTGGGTTCGGGGGCAAGCTAATCGGGACTCGCACACGGCCATCCGGGAGGTGGAACGGCGGGAAAGGCGACCGTCCCGCCGAGGGCGACAGGCGCTGCGCCGACGCGGTGGGAGGTCGCAGCAGCACGCCCGAGAGCGTGCCGTCGCCTCCAGGCCAACAGTCCCGCGACCCGTCCATCGCACCGAGGCCGTACGAGCGGGACGTGGAGCGAGGAGCGCGAGCAGAAGCTTCGAGTCGCGCAGCTCCCTCGACCGATGGGTCCGGCGCGTGCGCCGCCCCGCCCGCCCGCCGCCGCTCCCTTTGCACTCGCCAAACTGCTCCTCGGCGCGCCTGCCGCGTGACACGCTGCGGCTGCCGCGCATGACGACTCCTGAGCGCTGCACCCTCCCGCTCGCCCGCTTCGAGAGTGCGGGCCTAGACCCGCAGATCGTTTGCGCGCTGCACACCCACGCCCAGCTGGCTCCTGGCTCGCGCAGCTTGGATCCGTCGGTCCTGCGTCTTGCGTCGAGCGACGGCGACGCGACGGCGTGCACGGTCCGCGGACGACGCTGTCCACGGACCGTCCGCTCGCCACGCGCGCCCCGGCGCTCCTTCTCAGCCGGTGAGAAGGGCGTCGAGGACGAGCCAAGCCACAACTCAAGAAGCTCAAGCTGCAGCTCGTGCCCGACACAGCTGCTCGCGAGCGGCGCTGTGACAGAGAGACGTCTGTTCGCAGCGAGCGACCAGAGTCCGTCGTCGTCGACTGCGTCGAGGCGAGGTCGTCGGCGGTGCTGAGCGGTCGAGGCGGCTTGTGGCGGATGCGGAGGCTCGCGAGGGCGTCTGTCGGAGCGTCGTCGAGGACAGGGTGGGTGCGAGGGAGAGGAGAGGCGGGCGAACGACGGGCGCAGGAGGGAGGAAACGACAATGGCGGCTCGTCGACGACGCCTCGAGCGGCCGGACGTCAGGGCAAGTCGCAGGTCGGGCTCCTGTACCCTGGCGCGCGTCGCTCAAGGTCAATTGAACGCCGCAAAGGGCGAGGGAAGTGGCGGGCGAAGGGTGCGAGGATGAGATCGTCCGATTCCAACGCTTCTACGACGGCTCGTCTCCTCGCTCTCTCCCTCTCGCTGGAGCCCGACCACTTCGACAGCTCGCACGCCGGCACCCGTACTCGACGAGGCGCGCCGTCCGTCTTCCCGCCGACCGCCTCGACCGTCCTCCTGAGCCACCACCGCCGCCGCCCGTCCACACCGCCACCATGCCGACCACCGCCCGGCTATGGCCTCCAGCCAGCGCTCGGGCGTGTCTGCTACCTCGGGCAACCAAGCGAGGCTGGGCGCGGGACCTGGCCGCTCTCGAGCGCTCGCCCTGGCGCTGCCACCCTCGCCCGTCCAGCTCCAGGCGTGTCCACTGCTTCGTCCCGGCTCCTGCCGGTGATCGCGTCCTGCGCATCGACGTGCTCGAGCATCTCGCGAGCCGGCGTGCTCCTCGCGGGCGCGCTGGCTTGCGCGGCTCGCCCTCGGACCTGCTCCGCGCTTTCCCCGGCTCTCCCTCGCGCCGCTCTGTCTGCCGCTGGCTCCCTCGCCTCGTCTCGCTCGGCTCGCCCAGGCGGCCATCCAGAGCATGTCCTCCTGCTCGTGTCGCTCTCAGCTGCTCGCGACGCCTGGCGCCTCGACGAGGGAGCGCCGCAGCCGGTTCCCACTGTCTCCCGGGCGGACGGCCGGCTCTCCCACTTGCGCTCTCGTCTCTCGCTCTGCCTTTGCCGGCCTGCTCGGCGCACACGATCGCGATGTACGAGCTGCGGGCGGCGCGCGGCGCAAGTGAGCCCGAGGACGACACCCAGCTCGCAACTTAATCGCTCGAGCGACTCGAGATGGATCGGCGCCCGAGTCGCGTCTCTCTCCGTCGGGCTCCTCTCCTTCTCGCTCTCTTCCTCGACCCTCGACCACGCTCGACAGGGGATGCACGCAGGCTTTCCCGGCGCCAGCTACGAGCCGTCAACGACCTTTGCGCCGGCTGCGCTTCCCTCGCCCGGCGCCCCTTCCCCTTGAACCTTCCCCCACGCCGTCTCCACGAGCAAGGCTGTCGCCTCGGAGCTACCGACCCTCGCCACCGCACACGCACCATCCACCGCACACGCCCTCGCTCGACGTCCCGACAGCTCGCCTCGCAGCGGCACCGTCCCGCTCGACACGCCGCCGAGCCGAGCAGGTCCGTGCCTCGAGCGCTCCATCGCGCGCGCGGCGGCGGCGGCCCTGGCTCGCTCGCTCGCTCGCTCGCTCGCGAGCCGGGGCGTCCTGCGCCCTAGCTGCGCAAGCGTGCCCTCGGCAACCAAAAACCCGCCAACTGCTCATGGACCGGTACCCGCTGCGCCCCCGTGCCGCCGCTCGACCGACCGCGACCCAGCGGCGCCCAATGGCCCGCCTCACAGGCTCCTCACGTCCCTCCCTGCCGCCGCCCGCTCGACCTCGTCGTCGTCGTCGTCCTCCGCCGCACCCGCACCGCCCTCACCGAGCCCGAGCACGCGCCGCAGGATGTCGCGCTCGGCGTCGCCGACGTCGACGCGCTGCAGCTCGGCCTCGAGGGCTGGCTCGTCGAATGGCGCCGGCGCCGGCGCCGCTGCGGGTGCGGGTGCGGGCGCGGCGGGCGGGCGCTCGGCGCGCGAGGGCTTGATGGCGGCGGCGAGGGTCGGGTGCGGTGCGGCGAGGAGGGAGCGCAGGAAGGCGCGAGGGAGGGGGAGCGAGGGGTGCATGCGGAGGGCGGCGAGCGCGGCGGCAAGGACCTCGCGCGCGGGAATGGGGGCGTCGGCGTCGGTGAGGGGTGTGGGGACGTCGAGGGAGGTGGGAGCAGGGCGCAGGGACGACGAGGCGGCGAGGACGCGCGCCGAGATGAGCGAGTGCGAGGGGAGGTTGGGCTGCGAGCGGCGGGTGTGTCAGTTCCGCCCGGTCCTGCATGCCGCACACCTCGAGAGACAGAGAGTGAGAGAGAGAGCACGCACGAATTCCCTCCACCGCCGTGCGAGGTCGAGGACGGCGTCGTCCGTCTCCTTGCCGCACCGGAGCGCGGCGCGCATGACGAGGTCGAGCACCTCGTTCTCCTCCTTGATGCCCGGGCCGAGCAGCTCGAGCCCACGGTCGACGACGGCCTCGAAGCGCGCCTCGAAGTAGGCCTGGTGGAGCGCATAGAGGGCCGGACGAGCGGCGCCCTTGGAGCGAGACGCCTCAGCCGGGTCGTTGAACCACTGCGGATGGGGGGCAGGGGGTCAGCTCCGGGGCCGTACAGTAGCAGGAGAGAGCAAGGGGACGCACGCCTGGCTCGTCAAACTTGGCCTGGTAGCCCTTGCCCGCCTGTCGAGCGGCGGCGATGCGCTCGGCGCGAGCGACGGCGGCCGAGTCGTCGACCTCGACCTCGAACGCGCCGAGCTCGTCGGTCCACGGGTCTGCAGAGTCCTCCATGCTTCGTGCGTGCGGGCAGCCGGTGCGCGCGGGGCGACGAGGTGGGCGTGAGCGGGGGAAGCGAGGGAGAGCTGCACCGCCCACTTGGCGCGAGATCTCTGTCTCGCACACGGCGCAACAGTGGCTCGAAAGGGTTTGGGTTGCGAGTGTCGAGAGAACTATGTACACGCGGAGGCACTCAAAAAGCGGGCTCAAACGACAGGGTGCGGCTGCAGCAAGCCTTCCTCCCTCCTCCCTCCTCGACGAACGCTCCTCCTCCTCCTCCTCCTCGACCGTGTCCGCCCAAGCTTCTCCTTCTTCGGAACCCGACTCACTCGCCCGTCGCGAAAAAATCCTCGAGCCAGGTCCTCGCCTCCTCCTGCTCCTTCTTGAGCCGGACGAGGAGCGCCCGGCACCTTGCGAGCGCCTCGTCGTCGCTCACCTCGGGGCCCTCGCCGTGCGCGTCGCGCTTCTTGCCAAAGTGCTGCATCGCCTCGCACGAGTGCTGGACGCGCTGCAGGCCGAGCGCGGCCGACGAACCCTTGAGGAAGTGGCCCTTGCGCGACAGGGCGTCGAGGTCCTTGCTCGCGCTGTTGTCGGGCCGCGTGCGTCGAGCGTCGAGGGGGCGAGCGAAGGAAGGATGGAGGGTCGAGGTGGTGCGCGCGACGCAAAGATGGACGGCGCAGAGACGATCGTGGGCGGGTCGGTCGGTCGTGCGAGATCAGGGCCGAGGACCGGCCGAGGGCGAAGGAGATACAGGGGCGAGAGGGAAAGGTTGGTGGGTGGGCAAGAGGAGCTCAGTCAGTTCTCCGTGCGTCGAGTTGTGCGCCTCCTACAGCGCCTGCGAGAAGAGGGAGAGGAGGGACGCACAGGGCCTCCTCGATCTCCTGGAACGTGGCGTCGGCCTGGGTGATGTAGTCGAACGCGAGCGTCTTGGAGAACTCGTGCTCCTCGTCGTCATCCTGCGAGGGGGCGGGAGCGCGGGCGAGAGATAGGGGAAGAGGGAGGAGGGAGATGACGACCCGAGGTCAGTGAGGTGACCACGCGCCGTAGGAGGGAGACGAGCAGCTGTGCGTGCAGCTCGACAATCGAACAACACGCTGAGCTGCGTGCCCTGCCCACCGAGCGAGAGAGGGGGACGCACAATCTCGAGCAGTTGGCCAAAGACGTCCATGTCGACGACAGAGCCCGTCCCCGCCGGTCCAACGTCGGCCTCGCTCTCTGCCGGCCCTGCCTCGGCGCCCGTGTCGGCAGGTCCAGTCGCCTGCTCGCCTGCGGCGACCGTGGCGGTCGAGGGCGGGCCCGCGGTGGTGGACGAGGGGGGCTTGAGGTCGGCGGGCGACGACGAGCGGTCGGCGGCGGCGGCGGCGTCGGGGGACGAGGCGATGGCGCTCGCGGCCGGGGGCTTGGCCGTAGTTGGTGCGGTGGCAGTCGTGGCCATGTAGCTCTGTGCAGCTCGTGTATGGTGGGTGAGAGGAGAGGTGACGACGACGAAGCGCTCCTCTCGGTCAATCGGCCGCTCTCCTCCTCCTCGAGGGCCTCGACCGCTCCCTCGTCGCTCGCTCTCGTGTCGCTCCGAGTCGCCCAACTTTCCTGCCCCACTCTCGCGCACTATTCGCATCTGGCAAGTACTACTGTACTCGCAGCCACGAGACCGTCTCTCTCGCCGAGAGATGCCGCCTCGACCGCTCGGTCCTCTCTCCCTCTCTCGCGCGCAGAGTACAACACCTCGCTCCTTTGCACAAGCTCGTCCTCCTGCCCGAGAGAGAGAGCTTACCTCCTCGAGAACTGCAAGTCGCCGACGACGGCCGACGCGGCGCTGCAGACGTGAGCACGGTACAGCCCGCACTTGATCGAGCCGCCGGCTGGCACGTCGACGCCCGAGCGCGCGTACTGCAGGACGAGCTCTTGCGTCGTCGCGTCCTGGACCGTGTCTGCGCGCCGTCAAACGAGAGTGAGCGCGCGACGACAGGTGGGGGAGAGAGAGACAGGGAGGGAGAGGGGAGCGCACAGTCGACCGAGCCGCCCGGGCCCCACGTGACGACCATGCGGTGGTACGTCGTCCTCCCCCAGTACCGCTCGACGTCGACCTCGGGCAGCGGCACCTCGTGCCCGTGCGCGTCGACGAGCGGCGGCAGCTGCGAGCTGATGCGCACCCTGCCGTTGACGAGCCCGAGCGCGACGACATAGCCGCTTTGGGCGCGCGAGAAGAGCTGAGTCATGTGGAAGAACTTGGACGCCGACGGGATCGAGGGCGCGAGGTGAAAGTTCCACTTGCTGCGCGACGGGCGGTCAGCAGGCTCGAGCGAGGCGGAAGGGGCTCGAGAGGCGAGGAGAGGGCTGGGACGCACTAGATCCACGTCTCGCCGGGTGCAGTAGGCGGCCACGACAGGACCTCGTTGCGCTGTCGGCCTTTGCCGTCAATGCAGCTGCCTGCGCAAGCAAGACCACGAATCAGGGAGCCACTCGAGCGGTTGGGAAAGAGGAGCGACTGCGCGACGACGACGACGCACCGCTCGGCCCGAGATGGATCGTGAGAGCACGCTGGATCTTGACGTCTTGGCCGGGCAAGCTGGCGCGGAACGAGAGGGTGAGCGAGTGCGGCGGCGAGAGAGGGGGACGAGAGAGTTGGACGCGAGACGTACTTTGCGCCCTCCTCGAGGATACCGCTCGCCTGCCACTTGATGCCCTTGGTCAGGACGCCGCTCTTGGCCTCGGTGCCGTCGGCGAGGAGGCGACCGACGGTGACGGGTGGGTAGGCGGGCGGCTGAGGAGGATCAGAGGGAGACGGACGAGGAGGTACGGGCGGTAGAGGACCGGGGCGGGGAGGTACGGGTGGTGGGGCGGACATCGTCGGTGTTGATGGGAGGCTGGCGGAAGGCGACGGCGCAAGGGCGAGAGCGTGTGCGGACGAGAGGGCGAGCCGAGAGGTGGGGAGGCGAGGAGGACGAGGGGGAGCCGTGTCGTCGTGCCGCTCTGGTCGGAGGTTGAGGCGGCGGCAGGGGTTGTTCTGCGCAGGTTCGCGGTGCTGGATGTACCACTGATGCGGTCGAGGGCGTTGTGCAGCGTTGATCAGGTTCGAAGACGGGTTGGCGGCTCGAGCTGCGACGCGGGCTGGGTGCGGTCCTGGGCGGCGCTAATGGACGATGATGAGCTGTGTGGGAGCTCAAGCTGTCGAAAGGCTCGCTCGTGGTGTGGTGGGCCAAGCCGAGGTGCGCCGGCCGAACCTCATCAAGTCAACTTCCTCTCGCCCCTCTTCACCGTCGCTCTCTCGCCTGAGCAGCTTCAGAAGCACGCGCTGCAGCGCTTTCGCACCTCTTCGAACAGATCGAGCTCGCCCGCGTTGCCACCCTCGACGCCCTCACCTCCTCCGCCTCGAACGTCCATGCCCGGCCCGCAACCGCCGCAGACGGTCCTCATCGTCGGCGCAGGCGAGTTTGGCGCGACGGCCGCTCTCGCCCTCGCCGAAGGACCTTACAAGGGCCGCGCCGACCTCATCACCCTCGTCGACCGAGGCGTCGAGCCGCCTGCCGTCGACGCCGCCTCGTCCGACTACAACAAAGTGCGCCTCTCTCTCAATCTTTCGTCTCTTTCCTCGCCCTGACCTGCCTGCCGTCCTACAGATCGTGCGCGCCGACTACGCCGATGGCCTGTACCAGCGCTTCGCCGTCGACGCCATGCACGAGTGGCGCTCGCCCCGGTGGCGCGACCACTTCCACGAGTGCGGCGTCGTCGTCGCGAGCGCCGCGTCGCACCCGCAGGCCAAGTACGTCCGCACCTCGCACGCCCTCAACGCCGAGTCGTCGTGCGCCGACGTCGGCCCGTTCGCCGCCGAGGACGACATCAAGCAGTTCTACCCGGCCGAGCTCCGCACCGGTGGGTTTGCGGGCGACGTCGCGTACAAGAACTGCGTCGGCGGGTGGGCGGCGTCGCGCGATGCTGTCGTCGAGGCGATCCGGCTCGCGCGGGAGCTTGGCGTCGAGGTCCTCACGGCCGAGGCCGACTCGCTCCTGTACCACGCTCCTGCCTCGTCATCGTCGTCGTCGTCGTCTTTTTCGACCAACGTCGGTGCACGAGGCGCCGCACGCGGCATCAAGACCCGCGACGGCCGCACGCTCGAGGCCGACTTTGTCATTCTCGCGTGCGGCAGTTGGACGCCCCGCCTGCTTCCCGAGCTCAAGACCAACTGCCTCCCGACGGGGCAGACGGTCGCCACCGTCAAGCTCACCGAGGCCGAGATGCGCGAGTACGAGGGCATGCCGGTGCGTCTCGTCCCGCGGTTCCTCTCGGTCGACTTTGCCCAGCCTCCTTCGAGTCGAGCTCACCGTTTTGCCTGCGGGCGCTCACAGGTCACGCTCTGCATGGACACGGGCTTGTGCGTCCTACTCTCTCTCTCTCCCATCTCGAGCGTTCTCCGAGGCAGAACTAACGTACCCTCTCGCGCAGCTACGTCTTCCCGGTCCGGCGCCGCTTCTCGACGTCCTCGCCCTCCTCATCGCGACTGACCCTGTCTTTCTTCCCCTGCGCAGCCCAACAAGGACCGTGTCCTCAAGTTCGGTCCGTCGCTCGCCCTTTCCTGCCTCTTTCTAGGCGACCCGACGCACTGACCCTCGCTCGCCTTCCTCCCGCCGCCCGACAGCCATCCACGACCGCGGCTGGCTCGCGCCCACGGCGTCCTTCCCCTCTCTCCCGCGCACCGCCCTCTCACCCGGCTACGCGTCGCAGCCGATCCCGTCCGTCGCGCTCGCGGCGCTCAAGCGCGGCCTCGCGAGGGTGCACCCGCAGCTCGTGTACAAGCCCATCAACGAGGTTCGCCTGTGCTGGTACAGCGACCGCGAGTCGGGCGACTTCTTGCTCGACTACCACCCCGAGTGCACGAACCTCTTTGTCGCCGCAGGAGGGTCGGGTCACGCGTTCAGTGCGTCGCCTTGCGCTTTCTCTCTCTGCCCTCCCCCTCCCTCTCGCTCTCCCTCTCCTCTCCCTCTCTCTCGCTCCTTCGCGCCCTTTCCTCTCTCGGCCTCTCCCACACGTACTGACCCGCCCCTCGCCCCCTACCCCGCACCCGCACCCGCACCCGCAGAGTTCCTCCCGCTCTTCGGCTCGTGGATCCTCGGCTCGCTGCAGCGCAATCTCCCCGCCGAGCTCCTCCGCCTGTGGTCCTTCCACGGCGACCCGTCGCGCCTCGACAAGTCGCGCGGCGAGGGCCCGATCATAAGGCGCGACCTTGACTCGGGCAGGGTCGTCGAGGTTGGCGGGCAGGAGGGGGTCGAGGGCTTGAGCGCGAGGGCGAAGCTGTGAGGCGGATGGCGGGCAAGGGAGCGAGCGAGGGAGCGAGAGAGCGAGGGAGCGAGGCAGAGGCAGTAGAAGATAGACGGGCATGCAGGGCTGTATTGACAATCTGCGTCTCTCTCTACCGCTGCACCTCGCCCCGTCTCGCCTCGTCTCGTCTCGCCCCGCCTCGTCCTCGCCTCGTCTAGTCCGCAAACAGCCTCGTCCTCCACGCGACCGTCTCACTGACCTCGACCTCGATCCCCCTCTCGCGGCACACGTCGAGCAGGAGCGCGCCGCCAAACTCGCGAAACTCGGCGGGGCGCGGGGCGCGCGGGATGCGCAGGCGCGCAAGGTGCGCGAGGGGGCCGGCGGGGGGCGCGCCTTGTGAGGGGGAGAGGGAGGAGGGGGAGGGGGAGGGGGAGGGGGCGACGAGGCGCGCGACGAGGAGGGCGGCGACGTCTGCGAGGTTGTAGTCGAGCTCGAGCTCGAGGGTGCGCAGGCGGGCGTGGGCCGGCAGCGCATCGAGGACGCTCGCGAGGTCGACGGCAAAGTGGCACTCGAGGTGCTCGAGGTTGCCGAGCAGCGCAAAGTGGTCGACGAGGGCGGGCGACGGGCGGTGTTGGAGCGAGAGGCGGACGAGCGAGGGGGCGATCGAGGGGAAGGCGCGAGCGAGGGACGGGTACGAGGGCGAGGTGGCGCCCGTGAGGAGGGTGAGCGAGGTGAGGGTGTGGCGCGAGGCGGTCAAGAGGGTCGGGAGGAGCGTCGCGCCGTACGACCGGTTGAACAAGGTGAGGGACCGCAGGTGGAAGGGGAAGTGCAAGGCGGCGATCGTCGCCGGCTTGTCGGGGAACGAGGTGGCCAGGTGGAGCGTGCGCAGGCCTGCAGAGTCGCGACGAGGTCAGTGCGTGCTCTCGAGCTTGCGAGGGCGAGAGAGAGAGAGACAGGCGCACCTGCGAGGTTGTCGCTCTGGAGGACACGGGCGCTGAGACGCCCAAAGTCGCCGAGGCGTAGCCAACGCACGCCGCGGATCTTGGCGAGGACGCGGGCGGCCGTGGTGCCGCTGAGGCCGTCGTGGCCGGCGTGGACGCCTGCGAGGTCGAGGTACCGGGTGCCGTACAGGCCGAGGACCGGGCTGCCGAGGACCTTTTTCGCGACGGCGGGCGAGTGGATGCGGATGCGGGCCCACAGGACGGCCTGGGCGGGCGAGCGCCACTGGCGCGAGATGGTGGCGCAGGTGCGCAGGTAGAGCGAGCGGGCCGAGGCCGCCTTTGCCGAGTCGAGGTCGTAGTCGCTCGAGGCGAACTCGAGGATGAGCTCGACGAGCTCGAACGGGAGGTCCCGGATCGTCGTGGGCGCCATCGAGGAGCGGGGATGAGTGAGAGGAGGCGGGCGATGAGCCAGGTCGGGCTCAGGGCAATGGGCGCGGTCGGGGCGTGGGTCAAAGCATCGCTGTAGTGCTGTTGAGCTAGCTGGCGAGGGTGCAGAGCATCCCAGTCGTCTGGTCGTGTGAAAGCGAGAGCTCTGAGGTCGTCGTTCCTTCTCCTCGGCGGAGTTGGCTTCGCTCTCTTCACCCGGCCCACCCTCTGCCGAGCAGCTATCAGCCGAGCTCGCAATGCTCGACCTACACAGCGCGCGACATGCGCAACTCGGCGCGGCGACCAGCACTCCCGCTGCCCAAGACTCGAAACCTCTCAGGAGTCGTTCCCCGCCCGACGCGCCCCTCCTCCTCGTCTAGCTGCACCAGAGCGGCACTTGCACGTCGTACAGCACCGTGTGGCACATCCTGACGCGCAAGGCCATGCCCCCAAGCTCGAGATGCGCTCGCCGTTTCCCCCCTCCTCCTCCTCGTCTCGTCCTTCAACCCTGGGACGCGTCGAGACTGACGGCGTCCACCTCGACTCGCAGCTCGACCGCACCCTCACCCGGCGGAGCCTACCACCCGCTCACGCAGGTCCCGCTCGACTCGCCCACCTCGGTCCTCAGCAGCAGCAGCGACGACGGCGACTTGGACGAGAAGCAGCTCATGGTGCGTCGCTCGCCTCCCCTCGACGCACTCGACGCGCACTGACAGCCCTCTGCGCCCGCAGACCTCGAGCAACAAGCTGCCATGGCGACCTCTGCGCTCCCGACTGCGCGCCGTCGGGCGGCTGTGGCGCGTCCTCCTCGCCGTCGCCTCCTTCAGCATCCTGCACGCCGTGCGTCCGCTCTTTCTCTCTCTCTACGCTGCGAGACTGTGTGACCCTGACGTTTTCTTCCCGCCTACAGCTACTGCCCTTGGACCGACGAGCGCAAGTGTCGGAGCAGCTCGCCAACCTGTCGAACGCCCTGCCGGCGCTGCCTGAACACGGCTCGTTCCTCCACCCGTGGAGGCTTGTCAAGGTCGTACGTCCAGCTCTCTCTCGCTCCTCTCTGAAGACCGAGCTCACGTTGCGCGACCCGCAGGACGACCCGCTCATCTCGCTCCTCGAAGCCCGCCTCGAGTCGACTCCGCCTCTCGCGCCGTACCGCTTCCTCCTCGGCACCGTCCAGCGCTCCGAGGGCCCGGCCCTCATCGAGTGGGTCCTGCACCACCTCGCCCTCGGCGCCGACCACCTCGTCGTGTTCGACTCGACCGCCGCGTCCTCGCCAACCTCGCCCTCGCTCGGCATCGCCGCCGCCGCCGAGACGCGCGACCTCATCCTGCCCCTCGTCGAGCTTGGCTGGGTCACGCTCGTGCGCGTTGACGGCCCCCCGGATGCGGCACACCAAGGCGCCGCCAACAAGTTCCGGCGCGAGTGGGCCGAGCCGAAAGCGACGTGGAGCGCGTTCCTCGACGTCAACGAGTACCTCGTGCGGCGCGACGACCCGCTCGATCCGGCCGCGACCGAGGTGGCCCACGGCGCCGAGTCGTCGCCGCCGCCGTCGTCGTCGTCGTCGTCGTCGTCGTCGTCGCCGGCCCTGTCGCTGCCCGACCTCGTCGAGCGCGAGTACGGCGCCGCCGTCGACGGCGTCGAGCTCCCGCGCGTGTGGATGACGGCATGCCCGCACGCGCCGACGAGCCCGCTCGCCGGCGTCCTCGAGCGCCACACGGCGCTCGTCACGCTCGACGCGCACGACGCCGCGCTCGCGCCGCGCGTCCTCGCCCGCAGCCGCAGCCGCGCGAGCTCGGCCTCGTCGTCGTCGTCGGCGCCGTCGCAGAGGGCCGCAGAGCCCGTCATCGTCGCCCTGTCGGACCACGAGCAGCACGTCCCGCCGCCGCTCGTCGCCGAGCGCTACCCGCTGCACGTGCGGCGCTTTGTTCGCCGCGGGCGCGAGTGCCCGCACAGCGGCGGGCAGCCTGCGTCGCCCGCCGCGCAGGCGACGGTTGGCGACCCGGCGCTCGCGGCCCTCGATCGGCGGGCGTGTGAGACGGGCGGTGTGCGCGGCGTCGAGGAGGACTTGGCACTGCTCGAGCGCGGGACGAGCCTTGCGGCGCTCGGGGCGCGCCTCGAGAAGAGGTGGCCCGTGTTTCGCAGCGACGACTACAGCCTGTCGGTGCTGCCCTCCTCGTCATCGTCGTCGCCGTCGTCGGGCTCGCTCGGCTCGTCGAGGCGCGCGCCGCTCCCGTCCGACGACGAGGCGCCGCTCGAGCCGGGCACGACGCTCGTCGTCGACTCGAAGCACGGCGGGCACCCGGGCTTCCTCGAGGTCATCCTCTCGACGAGCGAGTCGCGCCGCGCCCTGCCCGTCACGTACCTCGCCTCGGGCGGCGCCGCGTTCGACCTCCCGCCGTCCACGAGCCGCGAGCTCGTCTTTGCCTCGCGCGCCCGCGCCAACACGACGCTCACGGTCGTGCGGCAGTACGCGGCCCTGCCCTCGCCGGAACGCGACCCGCCGAGCCCGTGCTCCATCATGGGCCACCTCAAGAACCAGCCCAACCGGACCCAGCTCCTGCGGCTCGCCGAGGGCGCGTGCCGAGGCGTCGACGCGGCCCAGGTCGGCACGCTCGCGAGCCTGACGTGGCCCCACGCCAAGTACCGCGGCGACGTCGTCCTGTCGCGCTCGATCCGGCTCGGCGCCTCGGCGCACTGGGCCGAGCCCGCCGCGCCGCACCCGCCGCTCAAGCTCGCCCGTCGACGCGCCATCGACCTCGTCGCCGCCCGAGAAGAAGCGCCCGTTGCCGCCGCCGCCAACGCCGTCGCACCGGCGCCCTCGGACCTGGGCCTCGCCGGCCTCACGCAGGGCCACTGGGCGCTCCACTCGCTCCAGTCGCTCGTCGCCTCGTCGCGCGCCGAGCGCGACCCGCAGACGCGCCTGTACACGACCGAGACGTGCCCGCGCCAGTTCTCGAAACCCTACTGGGACGAGCAGTGCGGCACGCACCGCTCGAAGCTCGCGCGCGACGGCGTGTGGCGCTGGGTGCCCGACGGCGCCAGGTCGTACAAGGGCGCGGCGCTGCCCGCCAGCGAGCTGCGGGCGTGCCTGCGCGCTGACGGGCTCGGGCGCCAGGCATCGGCGGCGGCGGCGGCGGCGGTGGGCGACGAGCGGCGCCGGATCCTCGTCGTCGGCGACAGCGTGTCGAGCCACACGTTCCTCGCGCTCCAGTGCCTCGTCGCGACGCACCTCGGCATCTCGGACTCGGCGCGCCACGTCCGGTTCCGCAGCGTCCAGTACGAGGCGCTCGACCTCGCCGGCGCGACGACGGGCCCTGGCTCGGGCCCCGAGGGCGAGGGCGCAGCAGCGTCGCTGCTCGGCCGACGCGAGTGGGACGAGCTCGTCGCGTGGGAGTGGGACGTCGACGAGCGCAGGGCAACCATGTACCCGCACGTCGTCGTCCTCAACGTCGGCCTGTGGCCCGCCTCGTGGGCGACCGCGAGCGGGTACGCCGCCGGGCTCGCGACGGCGCTCGAGCACCTCGTCGCGCTCGCGTACGACCCGAAGCGCAACCCAATGGGCCCGCGCATCCTGTGGCGAGAGACGACGAGCGTGTTCCCGACAAAAGTCGCCGACCCGCTGTTCCAGGTCAACCCGCGCGTGCGGCTCCTCAACGTGCTCGCCGACCGCGCACTCGCCGCCGCCGCTGCAGGCGAGCGCGCCCCGTCGTCGGCGGCGGCGATCGAAGTGCTGAAGGGCGTGTACGACATGGTGAGCGCGCGCGCCGACAGCGCGAGGGACAGCGCGCACCTGTGCCCGGTCGTGCAGGGCGACGTGGCAGAGGTCGTCATGCACCGCATCTGCCGCGGCGGGTTGCTCGAGCGGTAGTACTTTGCTCTCTCTCTCTTTTTTTTTCTCTCAACCAGAAGCTTCCGGCCGAGGGGGGGGGGGGGGGGGGCGTAGTGCCGTGCGTAATCGATTCGAGTGGCTTTCCTTGCTCCCTTTCTCTCCTTCTCTCGCTCTCTACTCTCCTGTCGAGAGCTTGCGAGAGGAGTTATCGAGAAAGTGTTGCACAGAGAGAGAGAGCGACTGCGAGGGGGAGGAAAGGCGACAACAAGGAGGACTGAGAAGGTGGTTCGTGACGAGGACGAGGATGAAGAGGGCAGGCAAGGGGCCAGGTGATGTGGACTTCGAGACGAGGGGAAGGGAAGGGAAGAGGCAGGCGGGGTCATGTCGCTTTGCCTGTGCATCGGCGCAGCCCTCGAGAGAGTGAGCCCGACAGGTCCGACTAGGCGCTCGAGACGGGTGAAACGCTCGACGCACCTTTGCCTTTGCCGCTCGCTCCTGCTGCGCCGCCCGGCGCCCGCTCGTACGCGTTCGGGACTGGCCTCGGCGCCTCGTCGTGCGTTGTCGTCGACGTCGCCGCCGCCGCCGCTGGCTCGCGCCGTGCGGCGCCCTGCTCGCCGTGCGCATGGCCGCACTCGTCGCCGTCGCCCTCGCCGTCGTGGTCGTGGTGGTGGTGGTGGTGGTGGTGGTGGCGGTGCCGGCGCTGCGCCCTGCGTCGCGGTGCGGCGCCGTCGCGGCTGTCGCGCGAGCCGTCCGAGTCGGCGTCGCTCTCACCCGAGGACGACGAGTCGCTCTCGTCCGACGACTCGTCGAACGGTTTGGGCTTGTGGTAGATGCAGCAGACTGTGTCGGGCGGGCGGGTGTGCGAGTGAGCTGCGTGAGAAGGAGGGAGAGAGGGGAGAGGGGAAAGGGGGCGCACTCTTTGATTTCTTGCGGCCGAGGCCCTCGTTGTCGACCGTGTTGTCGGACCAAGTGACGGCACGAGCAGATGGGTCGGCCCTGCCGCGCAGGCGGAGTGTCGGGAGCGGGTTGGAGGGGCCCGGGTGAGGGTCAGACGAGGAGGAGGAGGGAGGGGCGTCCGAGAGGGTGAGGGTGCGCGACGAGTGCGAGGCTGGAGTCGGGCGTTGGTGGGTGCGCTGCATGGCTCTCGAGTACGTAGCTTGGACTGGCTCGAGTGGTGAGGAGGAGGAGGCGAGGGAGTTGACCTCATCGCCTCGAGCGAGTCTCGCTCTCCCTTCGACCCACCCACACTCGACAGCTCGAGAGACGACACAGGCAGCGCCTGACTTGCTCACAGGTACGCCCCACACCCTCCCTTCCGCCCTCTCCCTCTCGCGCCGTCTCGCTCGTCGTCCTCCCTCATCGAGTGTGGGGGCACGACCCCCGCTCACCCTCGTCGACCCGCACCAGCAGCAGCACCGACAGCACCAACAATGTCGAGCTACGGCACTCCTCGGCCCACCCAGGCGAGGCCGCCAGCCCGTCCGACCCAGGCCCCGCTCGACGGGCCCTCGCTCCTCTCGACCCCTCATCGCACCCCGTCCGCACTCCGCCCAGCTCTGTTCCACCCGCGCTCAGACCTCCCAGCGAGTCGTACCCTCACCCCAACCACCACCACCACCCTCGCGCACGCCCACGCCCGCGCCCTGGCGACCGCCCCTCGCCCCACCACGTCCCACGCCCACTCGAACCCGTTCGACGCCCTCCCCGCCGCCGCGTTCGACTCGTTCGTCTCGTCCCTCACGTCGTCGATCCGCGCCGCGCTCGCCCCACCTGTGCCCGCCGCCGAGCTCCCGAGCGCGCGCAGGCGCCGACAGCGCGACGAGCATGCGCGCGAGAGGGACGAGGCGAGGAGCGAGAGGGAACGGAGGGCGAGGGAGAGGGAGGATGAGAAGGCGAGGGAGAGGGAGGAGAGGGACGAGCTGCGCGGGACCCAGGGCGACGAGGACGACGAGCGCGAGGACGTCTTTGGCGAGGTCAAGGAGGTCCTTCCTCCTGCCGCCGCGTCGTCGACCTCTGCGTCCGACGACGGCTTCCGCCAAGACGACCGCGACGACCTCGCAACCGAGCCCATCGTCCAGGACTTGTGCGTCGGCCCTTCCCTTCCTTCTCGCACCTCGGTCCCGACCGATTCTGACACTTGACCTCCCACCTCCCACCTCCCGCAGCGCCCTCTCGCCCTCGCCCTCGCCCACCCACTCCGACTTCCGCTCCAGCACCTCGTCCCGCTCGCCCTCTTCCGCCCCTGCCCCAGCCTCGGCCCCGCTCGAGATGCGCCAGGTCCCGTCCGCCCCCGTCTACCAGGACCAGCCGCACCCGGCGCGCGAAAAGCCGCTGTTCGTCCCGCGCAGCGCAGGGAGCGCGTCGGCGTCGGAGCACGAGGGGCTGCTCGGGCTTGATGGGGGCGAGGGCGAGGACGGCGAGGAAGCGTGGGAGGGAGAGGGTGGGCACGGCCGCGAGGGGACGTACGGGCTCGAGACGGCGCCGTCGCTGTCGCGGTCGCCCTCGCGCTCGCCGTCCATCGAGCCGGCCGGGGCGGGCCAGCATCCCGCCGCCGCCGACGCCGAGATGGACGTCGACCGCTCGTACGACGACGACGACGAGCGGGCGCAGCTCGCCGAGGACGAGCCCGACCTCTACGTCGACGTCGACGCCGACGAGCTCGTGTCGGACGAGCACAGCGACGACGATGACGACGAGCCCGAGCGCGTGCACCGCGACCCGTTTGGCCGTCCCGTGCGCTACGCGCACCCCGACCTCGCCGAGTACGACGACGACGACGACGACGACGCGCCCGAGCTCGAGCCCGTGCAGGACGACCTCGAGGTCGCGGCCGACGACGAAGCGCCGACCAAGCGCACCAATTCGGGCACCGAGCTCCTCGAGCTCGGCTCGTCGTCCGACCTCGAGCCCGAGCCCGAGCCCGTCGCGCAGGCGCAGGCGCATGCGCCGCCGGCCGAGGTGCCGGCGCTCGGGCGGCACCGCGCGAGAAGGGCGGTGTATGGCGCGGTGGGCGGCGAGGCAGGGCGAGAGGAGGAGGAGGACGAGCTGGAGGACGAGCTGGAGGACGAGCTTGAGGACGAGGGACAGGGTGCGGGCGACGCGGGCCCGGTCGCGGTCGAGCAGCCGCACCTCGTCGAGGCCGACCTCGTCGTCGGCGCCGAGCTCGCGCTCGCGGGCCCCGACGAGCACCAGGCGAGCGCCGCCGCGCTCCCGTTCGCCGCAGACGCCGCCATGCTCGACGCGCTGCCGCCCTGGCTCGCAGCGGGCGTCGGGCTCGCGCCGTACGGCAGCGGCGACGGCGAGTCGACGGGCCCGGCGACGCTCGAGCTCGGTGGCGACGACGAGGACGAGGACGAGGAGGGCGGCGGGGCGAGCAGCGCGGCGTGGGCCGACGTCGAGGACGAGGGGCAGGAGGACGAGGAGCTGGACGAGCGCGAGGGCGAGGTGCGCGAGGGAGAGTGGTACGGCGAGGGGATCCCGGGCGATGAGGTCGAGATGGGGCGCGAGGAGGAGGGCGGGAGCGGTGCGAGCGCCGGCGCGAGCGGGATCGAGGGCGCCGACGCCGAGATGGTGGCTGGCGAGCCCGAGCTCGTCCTCGAGCGCGACGACGACGAGATGCTCGTCGATGAGCCGGCGACGTCGCGCAACCCGCTCGAGGGCGTCTACGCCGACGAGGACTCGGAGGTCCGTCTCGCTCTTTCTTGCCTCTCGCCTTCACCCGCCCTGTCGATCCACACTCACACGCACGTTCACTCTCACACAGGACCTTCGCCCGCGCATCCCCTACTCGGCAAAGGGCAAAGCCCGTGCGCCACCGACGCCCTCGGACCTCTCCCGCGCCGAGTCGCGCTCCCCTCGCGCCCTGTCCGCCTCGCGCTCGCCCTCCCCTTCCGCCTCGGCCTCGGACGACTCGCGCTCGTCGTTCGACCTCGACGCCGCCCTCGCCGACTGGGCCGCCAGCGGCGCGCCCACCCTGCGGACCCTCGAGCCGTCCGACCTGTTCGCCATGCACGACGAGCTCGTCGTGCAGCTGCAGCGCGCCGTCGAGGCCCGCAGCGAAGTCGGCCTCCTCGTGTTGAAGCAGGTGCAGGACGTCGAGAGGGTGTTTGAGGAGATGACGGGGCAGGCGATTGACCCGAGCGAGGACGACGAGGACGAGGCCGAGGACGAGGTCGGCGAGGGGCGGTACGGCGCGGGCCTGCCGGGCCCGGAGCAGCTCGCGCTATCGAGCGACGACGACGACGAGCGCGCCATGTCGGGCGACGAGGACGCCAATGACGACGGCGGCGAGACGTTCGCCCTCCCCGGCTCGCCCCTCTCGGCGCGCCTCTCGTCCTCCGCCTCGCCCCCTCCCCCTCCTTCCACCTCGCGCTCGCACGCCGCCGACAACGACGACGAGCCCGACACGGCCGACCGCTCGGCCTACTTCCCCGACCTCGAGCGGCGCGGCACTGACGCCGCCGACGCCGAGTCGACGGCGGCGCACGCGGCGGCCGAGGCGCGCCTCGACGAGATCGCGGGCGAGCTCATCGAGATGCGCGAGGGCGGGTTCGTCGGCGAGCTGCGCGTCGAGCGGAGCGGGATGGAGGAGCTGGAGCTCGAGGAGGAGGACGAGGACGAGGTCGTCGTGGCGAGGGGCAGCTCGGTGGTCGAGGTCGAGACGGATGGCGAGACCGTGCTCCCGTCCGAGGTGCGCCCCTGCCTCTCTGCCGTACACTCTCCGCGATCGACACTGACTCGCTCGCCTGACAGGTCGTCTCGGTCCGCGGTACGAGCGTCCTCTCCGACCGCAGCGTGCGTCCTCTGTCGCTCCTTCTCTCCTCTACCTCGCCATCTGACACCCTGCTTCTCCTGCAGCTCGCCTACCTCGACGTACAAGCCCTCGAGTCGTCCGTCGCCGCCGACAGCGCCGACGACGAACCCGCTCGTCGTTCGCCCGAGCCGCTCCAGCCCGCCGAGCTCGTCGACATCCCGGTCGCTCCCGAGCACGCCGCCGTCGAGCACTTGGCACCGGACAACGTCGACATGGACGATGGCGACGACGACGAGCTGCTCATCGTCGAGGAGGCGACCGCCACCGAGACGATCGACCTCGTCGAGCAGCCCGCCGAGCTCGGGCGCCCCGTCTCGCTCGAGGCGCCCACTCGCACCGAGCACGTGCCCTCGTCGTCGACGACCGAGGCCGACGTCGAGCAGCCGGCGCGCCACGAGGTCGCCGAGTCGACTCGCGCCGAGGACGAGCTGGCGCCCGACGTCGCCGCCGACGAGCCGCAGGAGGACGTGCTCGCCGCCGGGCCGCCCGTCGTCAAGGACAACGCACTCGACGTTGAGCGTGTCGAGACGGAACCTGTCGCTCTCGAGCCTATCGTCCTCGAGCCCGTCGTCGCCCAGCCGCCCACGGCGCACGCCTCATTCGCGCCCTCGGCCCCGGTCGACGCCGCCTTCGACACGCCGCTCGTCCCTTCCACCGACGTCGCCGCCTCGACCGGCGAGCCTCGCGTCCCGCTCCCGACCATCTCGGCACCGCACCTCTCGTCGCACTTCCGCCTCGAGGACCGCCCGGCCATGTCGCTCTCGTCGCCCATCCCGTACCCGCCCGTGCGGTCCGAGCACAATGTCGACAGCCCTGTTCACAGCGACGACGGCGACGCCGACTCCGTCGACGAGGCGCCCGTCCGCGTCGGCGTCAGCGACGAGGAGATGCGCGACTCGGCGCTCGTCGGGCGGCACGTCCCGCTCGCGCGCATGCAGGACGGCTCCCCGGTGCGCCTCAAGGCGGCGTGCGACCTGCCGAGCGAGGAGATCGAGACGGACCAGGCGTCGGGCGGTCTGACCATCCTCGACGACGACGCGTCGTTCCCGCCCTCGCGCCCGGTCGAGCTCGAGTCGGTCGCGCCGGCGCCCGCAGCGCCGCACGCGCATGCCTTCATCGGCGCGACGCCGCCGCCTGTCGACGACGAGGACACCAAGGAACAGCGGCCGCCTATCGTCGACGGCGTCGCGCCGCCGCAGAACCTCGCCCTCGTCCCCGAGTCGGCGCCGCCGAGCCCGCCGCCGATGCGCGCCGGGGCCCTCGAGCCTGCGCCTGCGCCTGCCCCCGTCGAGCGGCAGCAGGCCCGCGACGCCTCGCCCGTCGCCGCGCTCGAGGTCCCGCACGCGTCGTTCACGCCGTCGGCCCCGGTCGACTCGGCCTTCGACGCCGGCCGCGTTCCGACCGCATTCGACCTCGCTCGCTCGCCCTCCCCTGCAGCGCCCTCCTCGGCCCTCTCCCCTCGCACCTTCTCGTCGCACTTCCAGCTCGCGCCCGGCCCGACCCCGGCGCTCGACGCGCCGATCCCGTACCCACCTGTTCACGCCGAGCACAGCGTCGACAGCCCTGTGCACAGCGACGACGAGCGTGTCGACTTGGTCGACGAGACGCCCGTCAGGGTCGGCGTCGACGACGAGGAGATGCGGGACGAGGCGCTCGCCGGCAAGGCGAGGCCGCTCGAGGAGGCGGTCGATGCGTCGGGTGCAGCGGGCACGCTCGAGCAGGTCGACACGGAGATGGGCGGCGAGGAGGACGGCGGCGCGAGCGGGCTGCTCGTCATCGACGACGACGCGGACGCTTTTGGGTCGGTCGAGCGGGAGCCGGCCGAGGCTGCGACTGCGCCGGCTGAGCCGGTCGAGCCAGTCGACGTCGAGCCAGTCGTCGTCGAGACGAACACGTCCACGTCGACTGTTGTCCGCCCCGACGAGCGACCGCCCATCGTCGAGGGCGTTGCGCCGCCCCAGAACCCGACCCTCCTCCCCGACCCTTCTCCTCCTACCGCGCCTGCCACGCTCGGCGACGCCCTCTCCCCCGCCGACACCGCGCCTCCTCCTCCCGCATCGTCGATCGCGCCCGCCGAGCCGCAGCCTGCCGACGAGGTCCGGTTCGAGGACTTTATCACGCTCGACGAGTCGGTCGACGAGGACGCCGACAGCGACAGCGGCGACTCGGACGACGACATCCTGTCGCTCCTCGTACCCGACCGCAAGCGCACTGCCGCGAGCGGCGGCGAGAACGCGGTCGGGCCTGTCCTCGGCCTGCCCGCCGGCGAAGAGGTCGTCACGGGCGACCTGTCGGCGCAGGCGGCGGCCGACGACGAGTCGTCCTCGCCCAGCTCGCCGGTCGAGCCGTCGACCGAGGTCGGCGAGGTTCTTCTCGCGAGTGAGACGGTCGGCGAGACGGCGGTCGAGCCTCTCGAGGCGGGCGAGGACGTCGACGCGGGCGACTTTGGCGACGCCGAGCCGAGAGCGACGTCGCAGGCGCCGTCGTCCGAGCCGATCAGCTACCGCAGCGAGGACGAGCCTGCGTTCCTCGAGCCCGAGGAGGGAGACGGGTTCGCTGAGGCGGCCAACAACGATCAGGTGCGCCCTCCTCCCTCTTCCTCCTCTCTCTCTCTCTACCGCTTCTCCTTGTACTGACATCTCTCCCTGTGCAACAGGACGACACGCTTGACACGTCGCTCCTCGTTCACGGCGTCGTCGACCCGGGCGAGTGGGACCCGTCGCAGCCGATCCAGTTTGGCTCGGCCGACGACGAGCCCGCCGACACGGTCATGAACGGCGACGACGACGAGGTGAGCACTCTCTCTATCTCTCTCGCGGGCCAGACGTCGAGGTCGGTGTACCGCGTCTGACGAGATCGTTGCCGCCGCAGATCGTTGTCGGCCGCAGCTCGTCCGCCCAGCAGGAGGACGGCGCCGACGACGCCCCGCAAGACGCAGCGCCACCTCGCTCGCCCGCTCGCTCCAAGAACGAGATCCGCCATCTCGAGACGACGCCTCGCCGTACTCGCTCGGCCGACCTCGCCACGCCGGCGGCTCCTGTCGAATCGTCACCGGCCCGCCGCTCGACTCGCCTTTCCTCCGTCGTGCACGACACCGAAGCGGCTTCAACGCCATCGGCGTCGTCGTCTAAGCCGCAGACGCCGGCCGCCAAGAAGCGCTCGAGGAAGGACGACGCCGCCGCAGGCCCCTCGTCGACCGCCAAGCGCGTCCGCCGGTCCGGGCAGCCCAAGCACGGCACCGCGTCTACGAGCGACGAGGACCGCGAGGTCATCGTCCCGAGCTCGTTGACGCAGCACGGCCCGGGAGCGGCGGCCCGTCACCACCACCACCCGGCGCCGCTCGGCGACGACGAGCGCGCGAGGAGCAGCGACGCGCCGCTCACGCGCTCTCGGTGCGCCTACGTGCGCCTCAAGATCCGCTCGACCGAGGCGCCTCGCAGCGCGCCGTACCTCGTCCAGGTGCCGTCGTGCGCGTTGACGTCGCCGGTCGCCAAGGAGACGATGCGGGCGTTCGACATCGAGAACCTCGGGCCGGTGCAGGACTCGGACGACTGCGACGGCATCCAGCTCGGCGGTCACGGCGGCGCCGACTCGTACGCCGCCGACTCGCTCCACGAGGCGCTCGTGCCGCACGGCGACGTGCTCGCCGCCCTGCAGCGTCTCGTCGGGCCCGACCTGTGGCACGAGGGCGCGGTCGAGGTCTTGCCTCGCGGCGCCGGCTCGGTGGGCAAGGGGGCGAAGAAGAGGCAGTAGCTGGGACGAGCACGAGGGTCGCACTGTCACGAGATTATGCTTGCGCGGCACAGCCCATCGAGAGTGACCGTCCGAAAGGCTGAGAGCGCCGCACGTGCCTCGGCAAGCTCCTCTCGTTTGGCTCTCTCGCTGAGCTCGGCGACGTTCTGCTCATGAGTCTAAGGCGCCTGTCAAGCTGTGTGTTTCGAGCGAGGTTTCCGAGCTCGACAGACTCGAGAGCGGCGGCCGGGTGCCTTCCGCTTCGCCATCTCGCTCCATCGACTACAGCCAGCCCCCTCGACTCGGCTGAGGGCCACGGCACATGAGCTGTGCCCGGCCACCCGACCGCCCAGAGCTCCGGTGTCGCCTTCCGACGACACCGTCCTCATCACCCCGCCTCCACCTCGCCAGCCGTCCGACCTCCCTCAGCCGCCTTGCAGAGCAGCGAGCGCTCGATCTCGCCTCTCGTCACCGGAGTGCGTGCTCGGACGGGCCAGCTCGGCGGTGGAGCGCGGTGCCGTGCCGCACTGGTGGGCGGGGTGGGCGAGGGAAGACGCGGCAGCGCGCTCATCGCCTCAGCGGCGTGCAGGGCACACTGCTTGTCCCAGCTCTCCCAGTACAGCGGGTCTCGCATGCGGACCCTCGAGCGCAGGTCTTGCCCTGCGCTCGATCGAGTCGTCGACCCTTCGTCCTGCGTCCGTAAATCCGCTGCCCGCTCGCTTGCAGCTTCTCGGCGGTCAAGTGTGCCGCTATACGCGGTATAGATCTGCACGGTGGCTCGGCAGAGGTGGCCGGTCAGGCGGGCGAGGGTGCGCCCGTGTCGCCTCTCGGCGCGGCGCACCTCTTGCTTCTCTTCCCTCGCGCCGCCTCGAGAGCCTCTGTCTGTTGTCCCAGGCCCTCTTGACGCTCGACTCAAGCTCCATACTCTCGTCATGCGCTTCCTCGCTACGCTTGCGGCTCTCGTTGCCGGCGCGTCGGTCGCCGCCTCCGCCCCCACCTGTCTGTCCCGGCAGTATCTCGACTCTGGCGCGTCCTCTCTCTCTCGCGGCATCTCCTCCTCTTCGACGACGAACTGACTCGCTCCTCCTGCAGCGACGATGCAGTGTGTCGCCTGCTCGAGCAACGCGCTCACGTGCACGAGCGCGACGGTCGCGCTCTCCTGGTGCGGCACCCACTCTACCCCTCTCGACTCGGTCCAGCGTGCTCATGGTCTATACGCGACGCAGCCAACGAGGGAGCTTCCTCACGTCCGACGGCAAGTGCGTGACGAGCAGCAACTGTCCCTCGAGCACGTTCGCGGACCTCGCAAGTGCGCCCTCCTCTCTTTCTCTCTCTCTGCGCCGGGACCAGTCATACGCCTGCCTCACACCTGATACCCTCGACACCGACAGCTCGCAAGTGTGTCGCCTGCGCCTCGACGGCCGCGCAGACCTGCTCGGACGCGTCGCCGACGGGCGCGACCGCTTGGTGAGCCGGCTCTCTTCCCCATCATCTCGACGCCGCTCTGCACTGGACGGTCTTGCGCCTCTACAGCAAGACCAAGTTCTGCCTTCTGAACGGCAAGTGCTACGCCCAGGTGCGGCCGCCAGCAGGGTACTACTGCCCAGGTGCGTTGCTCGGACCGCTTCCTCCTCTCCCACCTCTCGCCCGAGCCTGACCTTGCCTTTCGCCTCGCAGCCGGCATCGCGACCCCGTGCACCGGCGCAGGTGTCGCCAAGTGCAACGCCAAGGGCGAAACCCTCGCCTGCGAGTCGGGCTACTTGTTCGACTCGGTCGCGAAGACGTGCAAGGTGCCCTGGTGCGCCCCTCTTCCCGTCACCCTCGCCTTTACCGCCGAGGCCGCACTGACTCGTCATCGTCCACAGTACCGGCCCCGGCGTCGCGACCTGTGACTCGGACGGCGTACCGACCGGCTGCAACCGGCCCTTCCACTTTGCGAGCAAGTCGAACAGCTGCATCCTCTGGTCCGTCCCGCTCTCTTGCGCCGTGCGCGCACAGACTTACTGACACTGTCTCTGTCGAAAGCAACGACTACCAGTTCTGGAACGCGCAGACCCAAGAGTGCGTCTGCTCGGACGGGTTTTTCTCGGTGCCGACCTTCTCGGGCGGCGCGAATGGCACGCCGAGTGCGCCCACATCTCACTATTTCCGCCCTCAGTCGGACAAGGACGTGACTGATCTTTCTCATCCACGCTCTGCAGGCTCTGGATGCCGCCTCTGCTCGGGCCTGAGCCCGAGCGAGCCGTGCAACGCCGCGACCGCCGAAACTTGGTGAGCTCGCCAGCCCTTTCCCTCCTGCCGACTTGACCTGACCATCTCTCCCGCCGTCCTCCAGCTTCCGCTACTACGACGAGACCACGGGCGGCTGCCCTCGCGAGTGTCGCGAGAACTCGGACGGCACGCTCCCGGCCACCTACTACTACAGCACCCCCGCCGGTCCGTCGCTCAAACCTGGTCATCACTCCCTACATGTCCACAGACTCACACACTCTCTCTCTTTGCAGATGGCCCACGCTGCAAGTCGTGCGGCGGCGTCGAGATCGACTCGTGCACGGGCCCGGACGCCGCCCTCGCGTGCCGCTCCCCTTACGTCCTCGACGCCGGCAAATGCGTCCTGCCGCAGTAGCCGCCTCGCCTCGACGCAGCGAGATCTCTCGATTGTGTCGGCTGCGCGAGGGAGCTGCTGCGGTCGCCCTCGAGAAGCGAGAAAGCCGTCCTCGCCCTCCTTCCCGTTCTCCCCCTCTTCCCTCTCTCGTCTTCTTTCCCGTCCTCTCAGGCTCTCTTCCTCGTCTCTCGTCCTCTCCAGTGCCTCGTCGTCTTCCCCTGTATCTCGAGCCGTCATGTCTCCCCCTCTCTCGCGCCTCGCGTCGGTCGAGGCCAGAGTAAAACGACCCCGGCCAGAGCGAGCAGCCTCGCACGCGCAGAAAGCCGCGTCGGAGAGACACGCACGCATGGAGAGAGTGCAGCGGCAAATTTGGACTCGTCCGCGAGCGCAAGAATGTACCTGCGCACGCCGCGAGCTGAGCGCTGAGCCTCGAGCGGATCGCCCGGCGGCGTTCCTCCCCCACAAGCTCGCACGTGGCGAGAAGCCTGATCGGAGGGGAATCCCGGCCGGTTCACCTGCGCCCCCTGTCGGTATCTCCTCCCACCGCTCGGGCTCGAGCTCCTCCCCTCGCCTCTCGCACCGCTCGGCACCACCACGACTCGGGCGCAAAGAGGCGCGATGCCGTCTCTGCTGTACCGCAGCACGCCGAGCCGTTCGTCCCTGGGCAAGCAGCGCCGCCGCCGCCGCCTTTCCCCCGTGTTCCTCGTCCTCGCCGTCGTCGCTCAGCCGCTCCTCCTGTGGGCGTGGTACCGGCACGACGCGCACCTGCAGCACGCCGTCACGCAGCTGCACCACAAGCGCGGCGCGGCAGGCGGGCCCACAGCCGCCTCGCCCGACGTCTTCTGGCCCTCGTCGTCGCCTCTCCCCGTCCATCACTCGCCCGCGCTCCTCGACTACTCGAACCACCCTGTCGCCCCGTCACGGCCTTCCGCCCGCCAGTTCCTGTTCTCGCCCGACCTGTACGCCCAGGTCTTGCCCGTCGTCGCCGTCGTCACGACGACCCGGGACGCGCATCCCGACTGGCTGCGAGAAACGGCGGCGAGCGTGTTCGGCCAGTCGCTGCAGTCGCTCGTGTGGATCATCGTCGACGACGCGACGACGAGTGCCGAAGCGCTCGTCGTGCTTGCCGACCTCGAGAAGGATGCGCGCGTCGTCGTCCTGCGGAACGAGGGCGGGCTGGGCGTCGGGCGCAGCAGGAACCGCGCGCTCGAGTACCTCGGCGAGATGGACGAGGGCAAGCGGCCGAGATACGTCGTCAGCCTCGAGGACGACGACCTGTTCGAGTTGACGGCGCTCGAGAAGGTGCGTCCCGAACCTCTTCCTCGGTCCCTCGCTTCGATCGCAGCCGACTGACCGACGATACATCCCGCAGGTCGTGTTCATGCTCGAGAGCAACGGGCTCTGGGACCTCGGCGGCTTCCAGGTCGTGCGGTTCGGCGAGGAGAACAGCCTCGGGTACGGCGGGCTGCACACGGGCGCAAAGCACCTCGTCATGGTGCGTCCTTCGTCGCCTCTCTTGTCCTTCTGCGCCTCCCTGACTCTCGCTCGTCGCCCGTAGCACAACCACGTTCCCGACGCGGCCGTCGTGACGACCCGGGCGCTCCTCCAGAGCGGGTGTCGGTACGAGGAGGACGACGAGTTCTTGGGCGCCGAGAACTGGATGCTCTGGCTCTGCCTCGCCAAGGTGCGCCTCGACTCGCCTCCTCTCGGCTCCTGTACCACCTTACTAACTCTCACCTGGACCTGCAGGAGGGTTACTGGGGCGGCACGGTCCCCGAGGCGCTGTTCTGGCACCGCATCAAACCGGCCGAGAGCAAGCGCCGCTCGATCCTCGCTCTCGGCAAGGCGCCGTCGTCGCTGCACATCAAGGACAAGTTCTCGGCCCTCGTCACGTCGGGCGCCTTCCCCGAGATCGCGCCCCGACCCGCCGAGCAGCTCGAGAACGTCCGGTGGAACTTCCCGCTCGTCAACGCCCTCGCCCCACCTCCCGACGGCAAGACGCTCCTCCTCGTCCTGTCAACTTTTGCGCCGACGCAGGCCGGCCTCGCCGCCCTCCACCAGCTCGAGCTGCTCGCCGCCGACGGGTACCGCGTCACGGTCGTGGCGACGCACTTCCGCCCTCAAGACGGCCTCGCCCTGCGCCCCGACCTCCTCAAGTGGACGCACGACGTCCACGTCCTCCCGTCGTACGTGCGCCCGAGCGATGCGCCAGGGTACCTCAAGAACCTCGTCCTGTCGCGCGGCGTCCACGACGTCGTCTTTGCCGAGTCGGAGCTCCTGTACGAGCTCTTGCCCGCCCTGTCCGAGCACCTTCCCGACGTGCGCTTTGTCGACGTGCGTCCTCTTCTCCCCTCTACTCTCGTGTCGAGGCCGCCGAGACTCATCGTCGCTGTCTGCTCGCAGTACCTCCACGTCGACGGTTCGAGCGAGTCGTTCGTCCTGTCCACGATCTCGGAGCGCTTCACGGCTCGAACGCTCGTGTCGTCGTCCAACGTCGCCGCACAGCTCGTCGCTGCCGGCCATTCGGCCCTGTCGGTCGGCGTCCTCCCGTCGGGCATCGACACGCAGGCCTTCTTCCCCGTGTCGCGCAAGGTGCGCGCCTACGCCAAGCGCAAGCTGCTCGGCGTCACCGACAAGACGACCGTAATCCTCGTCTCGTCGCCGCTCGCCGAGGTCCACCGGCCGCACTTCATGCCGGCCGTCGTCGCCGCCCTCGAGGCGCAGGGCCACTCGCGGTTCCTCGTCGTCTTCATCACGACCGACACGGGCGGTGGCGACGGCGTCGTCTCGCTCGACACGATCAACCGCGAGATCGCCGCTCGCGACCTCACGAGGCGCGTGCGCGTCTTTGCCGGCGGGCTCGACCACCCCGAGTCGTACCTCGCCGCCTCGGACGTCTACTTGCGCCTGTCGACCTCGAACGAGACGTCGAGCACGCTCGGCGAGGCGATGGCAATGGGCCTCGGCGTCGTCTCGACGCGCACGAGCGGCGTCGCCGACCTCCTCGCTCACGACGTCGGGATCCTCGTCGACGCGCCCTCGTCCGACTCGCCGGCCGACGCCGCCGCCAAGTTCGCCAACGCGCTCGGCGTCGCCATCGCCGTCGGTCCTGGCGCTCGGCGTGAACGTGCGGCGCGAACACGAGCCGTCGCGCAGGACAAGCTCGACTGGCGCATCCTGCAGACGGGCCTGCTCGACGAGCTGCGCGTCGCCAAGCTCGCGCAGGACAAGAAGCACGTCCACGAGGGGTCGTGGCGTCAGCCGGCGCAGCTGCCTGTCAACCCGGCCGCGCACTATGCTCTTCAAGTGCGTCCGCCTCTTCCTCGTTCCCTTCCCTTCTCGCCCCGAAACTCACTCTCATCTCCCTTGCAGGCCGTCCTCATGGAGAACCACGACGAGACCGACTTTGCCGTCTCGCAGAACAAGCTGCGTGCGCCGCCCCGACACGGCGTCGGCAAGGAGCTCCAGGACCGCTGCGGCGAGACGAGCCCGGACATGTCGAGCTGGATCAACTCGCTCGAGCGGGCCGAAAACTGCCGTCCCGAGGCCAAGTTCCACCCGCGCAAGCTTCAGCGCTCGGCCCTCTTCCAGTGCTCGGCGTGGTGCGTCCCTCGCTCCCTGTCTTCCTCGCCCTCGGCGGCCGAATGACCTCGTCCTCGTCGCGCGCAGGTGCATCTGGGACTTGACGACCGAGTCCGGCGCCGGCTGGATGTACGACGGCACGTGCTTCACGCGGTTCGCCGACCCGGACAAGACGTGGTGCCGCGACTGGACCCACACTCGCCCCAAGGTGACCCTCTCCGACAAGGAGGAGTGAGCCCCTCCTCCCTCTCGCATCCCCCTTCTTCCTCTCGATACCCTCCTTTTTCGTCTCCTCCTCGTACTAGATCTCTGTCGTCCTCGGTTGGTTGTTGTCATCCCTGCGGGGCGTCGGCGTTGCTCCCCATCCTCTGTGTCGATCTTTTCGTAGCTTTAGAGCGCCTCTCATCTCGTCGTACTTAGCCGTGCACTCTGTCGACCTCTGTAGCGAGAGTGAGAGCATGAGAGCTCGTGCACAGGGATCTCTCGAGGCCAAAGAGCAGGCGCGAGAGCGGAAAAGGAGGGAAGAGAGGCTCGCTCGGACCCTCTCTCGCAGGTCTCTGCCCTCGCCGCTCTGCCCTGCTCCACCGTGCTCCTGGTACAGACGCTTCCCTCTCCTCGTGCCCCTCTGACAGCGTGTCGGGCGCGCCCACTCTCGCCACTTCTCGAACCAGGCAGCATGCTCGCTCGAAGCCGTCGACTTGGGAAGGTCGACCTCGTCGAAAAGACTCGCTCTGCAGCTCACTCTCGCAAGATAGCTGGACGGCACACACACAGCGTTGCACTCAGACTCGACTCGTCTCCTGCCTGCCGATCGAGAGCTACGCCAACTGCTCGCCCACCGCCCTCTCGCTGCAGAACCCGAGGCGTGCGATGATTTCGTCGACGACGGGGTCGATGGCTTCTGTGCGCAGGACTGTCACACGTGGAGGACGGTCAGTGACCTTGATGGAACGAGGCAGGCTCCGAGGGGAGAGAGAAAGGTAGCTGGACGCACAGTGGGTCCCGTCGAAGAGGCGAATGTCGTCCTGCATGGGCCTCGAGTACTGCTCGACGTCGACGATCTCCCACTCACCCTGCTCGTGGGCGATCCGACGAAGCTCCTCGCTCCATCTGTGCATGCGCGGACCGGTGCGGCAGTCGTTGCGGCCGATTTCCGGCGGGAACGAGGGCAAGGTGAAGAGAAGAAGGGACCGCGACTTTCGGGTCGGGCAGGTGCGCAGCAGGTCGGCGAGGTCGTGTAGGCGAGTCTCGACGTGCTTGACCCACTGCGATGTCGGCGCGCACTTGAAGCACGCCGGATGAGAGCCCTGTTGGGCGAGGACGACGAGGTCGAAGGTCAGGCCCGCGTGACGGGCAGGCTCGAGGGGACGAGAGGGACGCACCGTGCTCAAGGTAATCGAGTCGAACTGGTCGAGGTAGTCGCAGCTGAGCTTTTGGTCGAAGTACGAGTCCCTGCGGACGTGCGGCAGCAGAAGTTAGTCGACCGGGCGCGGCGAGATCGACTCGAGCGGCTCGTGCGCACCATTTGAAGTACTGCGAGCGGCTCTGTGTCAGTGCTGTCGACAGGTTTTGGCTCGAGAGAGGGGCAGAGAGAGAGAGAGAGGAGCCGACGCACGAGACCAAGGTTCTCAAACGTCGAGTTCTTCAGCAGGTCCTTCGGGCTCTCGAGCGCAAAGTCGTCGTGCCCCTCGAGTCGCCACTTGATGACGTCGTAAGCGACTCGAGCGTGGCTGTCGCCGAGGAAGAGCGCCTTGTGGCGGCTCGCGAGACAGGGCGAGTGGTCGACGAAGCGCACGCCGGCGTGGTCCATCGAGCACGACGGCCGGTGATACGTGTACAGGCCGGCGGACGCTCGCCGCTCTGCCGTCGCACGCGTCGACTCGGGGAGACGAGCTTGTGGATGGGCGAGGGCGTAGTGCGGCAGGGGCAGGTAGGCGCCGGCGAAAGACGAGGTCGAGTTGCACGGCGGAAGAGGCGTCGGACGGGCCCGCTCGACGGCGTTGCCGAGAGAAGATGGTGCGTCGAACGACGACAGGGAGACGACAAGCTCGTCCGGGACGAGGCGCGGCGGCATGTACGGCGCGCAGCTCGACGGGCACAGATCGACCTTGAGAGGGCCCTCGAGGAGAGGTAGTCGTGCGAGGACGGGAGCAGGCCGCGTCGTGACGACCTCGCGAGGCTCCTTGAAGCCCTCGTAGTCCTGCGGGTGTTCGTAGAGCTTAGGACGAGGCGGGCAAGGCGAGAGAAGGGAGCGAGGTCCGTGCGCACCTCGTGCAGGAGCTCGACCGTGATCCAGACGGGGCCCGCGTTGACGAGGTTGAACCGGTAGGCGTACGAGCAGTTGCCGAGGTACTCGCTCGGGACGTCGAGGAGCTGCCGCTCGGCGCCCTCGACTGAGACGGCAAACGTATCCGAGCCGAGCCGCGACTTGATCCACTGGTTCAGGTCCTCGTCGAGCGACGGCTCGATCTCGTACTCAGCGCGCCTGCAACGCTCGACGTCGGTACGAGAGATGACGACCTCGAACGAGTTGCAGGTCGACAGGTCGTGAATGAGCGCCAAGGTGAACGAGGGCGACAAGGTCGGGACGACGAACGTGCTCGACCTGCGCTCAAGCGAGGACGTGGCGGACCGAGGGGCGAACGGGTCGGGACAGGTATATGGTCGAGACGTGTCGAGCGTGACCATGAACTGCGGAACGAGTGACTGTGAGTCGACTTTCTCGAAGGACGACGTGTCTGAGTTGGGGAAAAAGCTCACGTAGACGGCGGCGGCGAAGCAGAGCAGTCCGAGTCGGCCTGCCCACACGATATTGCGACGCCTGGAAGCCCACGACGAGGCGCTCGGCGAGTACGGCGGCGCCGGGTGGTTGCGCACGCCGGGTGCGTCGTCGTCGACTCGCACGTTGTCGACCTCGGGCGACGCGCAGCTCTTGTCGGTCGAGCACGGCGACCCGATCAACGTGTCGGTCTCTGCAGGGCTGCGAGGCCAGGCAAGAGTGTGAGCACGCCGACGCGTCGCGACGAACGCGCAGAGCGAGGTGGGGAAGGGGAGGAGGAGAGAGGGACGCACTCGATCGTCATGGGTGGCTCTGTCGCTCGAGACAGCTGCTTGAAGAGTGTGAGAAGAAACGAAGCTCAGGCGAGAGCGAAGTGAAGAGACGGCGAGGCAGAGGCGGTCAAGAAAGAGCCGAACTCTGTCGACGACGCGCCTGGGCTCGGGACGGCGACGAGTGCTCGAGGTACGCTGCGCCAGTTTCGAGTCTCTCGCTCCGTGCGAAAGGCGTTACTGGCGGCACCGAGCGCAAAGCGGCGTGCAGAGGAAAAGAGGGAAGTGTCGAGCAGGCGGTCCGAGCGTCGAGGAACGGCTCGTCTCGCTCGGGCTCGACGAAGACGGGGACGAGGCAGGCTTTCAGCCCGCTCACCGTGCCACAGTAGGGTCGTGACATCTGTTCAAGCGGATCTACGGCGCCTCCTCTGCCGTTAAGCACTCGTCCTCCTGACCCTCCCGCAGGACCACCTTCCGGCGCCCGCTCCTCACCCTCTCCCCGCCTCGCGCCCACCCGCCGCTGCGCCGATCCAGCCGTCTCGGCGGCTCACGTCCCCCGCTGCCACCCCCACCTCGAGTCCTGCGCCTCGTAGGCGCGGTCCCGCTCGATCTGGAGGTCCCACTCGCGAGGCGGCGGCCGACCGCTCGTCGACGACGACTTGTGCTGCGCGTGCCGAGGGGCGGCGTACTGTGAGTGCGGCACTGTGTCGTACGGACGGTGGTCGAGCTGGGCGGTGGTGCGGGCGGTGGAGGAACGGCGAGGGGAAGCCGTCGTCGGCGTCGGCGAGCGCGAGCGCGGTCGCGTCGAGCGGTCGTCATCGCGAGGGCGGTGGGCACGACGCGTGTCGGCCGATTGGCGGCTGCGTGGGGCGGGCGAGTAGCTCTGTGCGTCGAGAGCAAGAGTCAGTTCACGATCGTCGACGACGACGACGAGCGAGCGGAATGAGGACTCACCCTCTCGTCCCTCCTGCGGCTGTCCCGCCCCTTCTCCTTGCGGCTCGTCTCGTCTCGACCATCGCGGCGCCTGCCCTTGCCCCTGCCCTCGCCCCGACCCTTCTCGTGCCGGCTCCCCTCGCGCTCCCTCGAGCGCGAGCGACCGCGGCGGTCCCTGCCGCCGCCACGCTCGTGCCCGTCCGACTCGCGCTCGCGTCCAGAGCGGTGCCGCGAGTCCTCCCTGCTCGACCTCGGCGCGCTCGACCAGCGCGTGCCCGACTGCTCGCCGAGCCCGTTGCTCGCGAGGACCTTCTCGACGAGCTGGCGAGCTTCGACGAGGCTCTGGCTCGTCGCGCCGGGGCCGAGCTCAAGACGGAGCGTAGTGCTGTCGAGCGCCGCCTCGACGACGAGCCGGACGCCCGTCGTCTGCGTGATGAAGTGGCCTCCCGCGTTCGCGCCGACGAAGCGCTCGATGGCTGACACCGGAATGCTGTGGGACGTGGCGATCAGTCGTCAGGGTCTGCATAGACGACGAGAGGCGGAAGGAGAAAAAGGGAGACGCACGGGATGCTGAGCGACGAGGCGTGCTCGACGCTCTCGGACGACGTGGTCGACGGATCGTGGCGGTGCGAGCGACCCGGCCTGCTCGCCCTCGGCGCTTGCGACGATCGAGGCGTGTCGATGCGCGAGGGCGGAGGCGAGAGGGAGGACGAGCGGGGAGGGGAACGGGAAGGGGAGCGGTCCGAGCGGCCCGACCGGCGGGGCGGGCTCGCCGACCTCGACGAGCGGCGACGTGCCGAGGTACGGGACGGCTCGTCGCGCGGGTACTCGTCGGGGCGCACGCTGCTGCGCGCCTCGGACGCGGGCCGCTCGGGCGGCGGGATACGGTAGTCGCGGCTCGTCGCCGACGGGTACGAGGCGCGCGAGTCGTTGCGCCACGCGCTCGGCACGGGCTGACCGCCGTACGGCACGGCGTCGCCCTGCTGGCGGCCGGGGTCGCGAGCGTAGTGCGGGGCGTTGCGCGTGCGAGCGTCGTGGGCCGCGTCGGTGAAGCGGTCGAGGAGCCACCAGCCGTCGACGCGCTCGAGGTTGACCTCGTCGTAGTCGGCCCAGCTCGACCCGGCCGCCTGACTCCGCATGCGCTCCCACGCGCCCCGCCGCACGTGCGCCGCGTCGCCGCCCTCGATCTTCTTGACCATGTCGAGCGCGAGCTGGATGGCGCGCCGGGTGCCGATGATGACGACGTAGGCGAGCTCGTCCTCGCGGATGAAGACCGAGAAGCTGCCGACGCCGCTGCGGAAGCGGATGTCGGTGGCGGTGCGGCCGCCGATCCCGACCAAGTGGCCGCCGCTGTTCGGGTACGGCAGGGCGGCAAAGTACTGGTACACGACGCGGTCGGGTGGCGGCGGCGAGGGGCGAGGATAGGCGACGCGGCGCATGTCGAAGTTGTCGAACATCTTCTGGGAGCGAGGCGTGAGGGGTGGAGGAGGGGGCTGTGCGTCAAGAAGGGGAGGTGCGGCGTGGTAGGGGCGGGTAGTCGTCGAACGAGGTTCCTGTCGAGGTCGACACTTCCACAGTCAGTACACCGTCATGAGAGTGAATCTCAAGAGAGACTAGAGACGCACCTCGAAGCCGGCAATGTCGGAGCGGAACTCCTCCTGGTCGACCTCGGGCATGACCTCGCGCTCGCGCTCCTTGACGACCTCGCCCGACATGCCCTCGCCGCTCATCTCGACCGTCGTCGACCTCGCCCGACCTGTGCCCGTGCCCATGCCCTTGACCTCGCTCATCTTGGCGTCGTCGTCGCCCGCCGAGTCGCCGCGCCTGCCACGGTCGCTCCCCTCGCTCAACTCGTGCTGGCCCGCCGCCGTGCTGTGCTGCTGATGGTCGCTGGCGGTGTCGAGGTGCTCGCCGGAGGCGTGCTGAGCGATGTCGTCGTCGGTGAGGTGGGAGCGGGCGGGACTTGGCGAGCGGCGCGAGTGGGACGAGAGAGACGACAGGGTGCTGAGGGGCGAGCTGGGGCACTGTGCCGGTGCCATGCCCGCTGTGGGTGGCTGCGCCCGTGCTGTGAGGGCGAGAGTGAATGAGGTGGAGGAGGTAGAGGGAGGCGGACGGGGGCGAAAGGCGGGGGAAACCTCGAGGAGGAGCGTGCGGTGGCCAAAACCCCGCCTCGCCCTCGTTCGCCTCGTCGACTCTTGCAAGCGAGCCAAGCCAGACGTTGCCAAGCGCAGGCTTTCATGCTCTCGGGAGAGACTCTCTCAGAGGCCGCCCACCGTGCGCGCAAAGAGGGCGCATCGGTGCACGGTCCTCGTCGACGACGACGACGACGACGAGCGACGAGCTACTCACTCTCGCGCCCACGCCGGCCCCTCGTTGCCGTACCGCTCTCGGTCTAGAGGCACACCGACTGGCCCTCGAGGTTGGGCGAACCGGCGCAACCGCTGTCGGAGGTACTTGCACTTCTTCTGCGCGAGGGCGAGTCGCGCGACGACGTTGTCGTAGGCTGCGCAGGGGACGAGGAGCACCGTGGCTGGGGATCAATCAGTGCGCGTCCGCCGTACTGGCACGAGAGGGTCGGGCGACGAGGGCGAGGAGAAGAGGAGAGGTCGAGGCGCACCTTGTTCGCCCGCCGTGTCTCCTGCCCCGTCTCGCTCGAGCGCTCGCCCCTGCTCGGCAGCTCGACGCTCGAGCCGCTCCACCTCGGCGTCCACGCTCGTGCAGAGCGCCCGCACGGCCTCCTCGGTCGCCTGCCGCGGCGCGTGGACGGCGACCCAGCAGGACGCGAGCGGCGGGATCGCGTGTTGCAGTGTAGCGCGGCGGTCGGGCTCTGCGGGTGCTCGAGATAGGTCAGCTGCCTGTCGTAGGAGAAGAAGGAGAGGAAGAGGAAGGAGGACGCACCGCTGTAGCCCGCCGTCGTTCCCTCTCCTCGCTCGACCTCGCGCCAGTGCTCCTCGAGCGCAGACAGGTCGCGCCGGTCGATCGGGGCACGCATCGCCCGTAGAGGGTCGCGAAAGGCCTTGACGCAGCGCGAGAAGACGGAGCGACGACCAGGCTCGTAGGCGGAAAGCGCCATCGGCTCGAGGAGGTCGGTCGCCGGCGAGGACGACGTGCGAGGGAGGCAGAGGAGACCAGGCAAGAAAGCGAGAGTCAAGCAGAGCCTCACTCGATGAAAAGGAGCGCAAAAAGCCGGGACGAGAAGCGGAAAACAGCGGGGCGAGCACAAACGCCTCGAGGACGAGAGGCGGTGCTCGTCCGTCGCGCGAGTTGTGCCGCGGTCTCGCCGTCGCCTACCCGACCAAAGTGCACTGCTTTGTTTTCATGCGCCAGTCTCCCTCTTCGCCGTCGTGCCCGCCGTCGTCCTTCAGACGACGGTCAGCTTGACGGCGACGTTGCCCTCGACAGCGCGCGAGTAGGGGCACATCTTGTGCGCCTCCTCGACGAGCTTCTGGATCTGCTCGTCATTGAGGCCGACCTCCTTGAGGGGCGCGGCGTGGATGTTGAGCTCGACGGCGAGGAGGAAGCCCTGCGAGAAGACGAGAGGGGAAGGGGAGGGACACGAGGAAAGTGGTCAGCGACTCGCGCTCGAGGCGTCACACGTCGTGAGACGAGAGAGCAGCACGCACAGCGACCTTGTCGTCGGCGTCCTTGCCGATGCTCACGACGGCGTCGACCTTGGTCGACTTGGGGAGCGGCTTGGCGCCCTTGTTGAGGTTGCCGTGCGTCGCACCCATCGCCGAGAGGTAGCACGTCGCGTACGCGGCGCCCCAAAGTTCTTCGGGGTTGTGCTGCGCGCCCTTGCCGCCGAGCTGAAGGAGCAAGCCGTCAGTGCGCCGTCCTGGGAGAGGAGAAGGAGGAGGAGGAGGAGAGGTGAGCGCACCTCCTTGGGCATGTCCATCTTGAGCTCGAGCCCAGACTCGGTCTTGATCGTGCCCGCAGCCCTCGATCCGGTCGCAGTCGACGTCGTCGTGTAGATGGGCGAGACGGTCGAGAGGAGGCGAGGGTGAACCTGCGAGGCGACGCGGCGGGGGACGGTGCGGGCGAGAGTGCGGAGCATGGTGGACGAGGAGCAGCGAGTAGGGTGCGGGTGCTGCTGTGTAGCTGAGTGCGCGTTGAGGGAGGAGGAGGGGAGCTCGTCGTCGCAGCTCCACCTCGGGTCTCACAAATTCCGCACGCTCGCGCTCTCGGTTGCTCTCGACGGCGCTCAAGGACGGGCCCAGAGTACAGATGCAATTGCGAGAACCTATGTGCGCGACGGCTCCTTCCCCCGAATTCCTCCCGAAGCTCTATGTCGACGACGGCGCGAGAGGCTGCGCTCAGCCCTCCTTGACGACCTCGGTGATGGCGTTGCGGATGATGTCGCAGCCCTTGGCCATGTCCTCCTTCGAGATGTTGAGGGGCGGGATGAAGCTGTGGTCGGGAGAGGTCGGCGAGGGGGGGGGAGGAGGCGGGCGAGACGGCAAGGTCAGTACGCCGTACAGGATGAGAGCGCGACAGAAAGAGAGAGAGAGAGCGGGACGCACCGGATCGTCTGGTACACGCTCGTCGTGAGGACGAGGAGGTCCTTCTCGAGGCACTTGTTCTGGACCCGGCTCGCCATGTTGGCGGGCACCTTGCCCTGCGCGGGCGTGTACCGGTCCGTCGGCGACTTGAACTCGACGCCGACCACTGCGAGGGAGAGTGACCAACGAGAGTCAGTATCGCGCTCGCCGTGACGAGCAACTTCGAGCGTCGCAAGGAGCGAGTCGATCCGAACGCGACTGCCGCAGGATCGACCCGCTCGCGCGACGAGGGAAAGCTGGACGCACTCAGTCCGAGCCCGCGAACCTCGGCGATCGTGTCGCCAATGACCGGGTCGGCCTTGAGGTCGTTGAACAGGCCAAAGATCTCGTGCGAGCGCGCGTCGATGTTCTCAAAGACGCCCTCGGTCCTGAACGCGTCCTGGACGGCGCACGCAGCGGCGCAGCTGACGGCGTTGGCGGCGTACGTGCCGCCCTGGGAGCCGGCCTGTGGACGAGGGAGCGTGTCAGTACGTGCACTACGAGGCCCGGAACGGCAGTCGGGCAGGGGGGACCGCTCGACAAGAGGCTCGTGGGCGACGCACCGGCTGCTTGTCCATGAGCTCCTTGCGCGACACGATGCCTGACAGCGGGAAGCCGTTGGCGATGCCCTTGGCGATGACCATGATGTCGGGGCGGACCTCGGGCCAGTGCTCGATGGCGCTGCGGGCGAGGGGCGCGAGGGCGTCAGTCGATGTTGGCGACGGAAACGCCGAGCGGCGCAGAGCCACGGCTTCGAAAGAACGGAGAGGGAGGGAGCATCAAGACGCACAAGTACTTGCCCGTGCGGCCGAACCCGGTCTGGACCTCGTCGATGATGAGGAGGATGCCGTGCTCGTCGCAGATGCGGCGCAGGCCCTCGAGGTAGCCCTTGGGCGCCGGAATGTAGCCGCCCTCGCCGAGAACAGGCTCGATGATGAGCGCGGCCGTGTCGCGCGGTGCAGTCTCCTGCTTGAGGAGGAGCTCGAGCTGCGGGAGGGCGAGAAGGACGAGTGAGTGCCTCGCTCGACTCTGGCTCGACGAACAGGGGGATAGGCAGGACGCACGCGGTAGAGGGCGTTCTCGACGAGGTCCTCGTTGGCGGTGGTGTGCGGGAGGCCGAGCTGGTGCCAGTACGGGTAGGGCGTGGTGAAGACGCCGGGCTGCGGGAGGAGAGGGAGGAGGTCAGTGCTCCTGTTCCGGTCCGCCTCATCGGGCTCGTCCTCGACGGGCTCAAGAGAAGTCGCTCGACGCACCATGAGCGGAGCGTAGCCGGCGCCGTAGATCGTCTTGCTCTTGGTGAGCGCCATCGTGCCGAACGTCCGGCCATGGTACGAGCCCTGGACGACGATGATGTTCTGCTTGCCCGTCGCGTGGCGCGCGAGCTTGATCGATGCCTCAACGGCCTCGGCGCCGCTGTTCCAGAAGAAGAACGAGTCGAGGCTCTTGTGCGGCATGACGGGGAGGAGCTTCTGGATGAGCTCGATCTGCGGCTTGTTGTAGCCGAGGTTGATCTGTGGCGGCGGGAGCAGACGGTGAGCAGTTGCTCTCTGGACTATGTGCGAGAGCTTGCGGCGCGCGGAACGAGAAGGGGTGGGACGCACCTGGCCGTGGGTGAGGGTGCCGACCTGCTCCTGCGCCTGCTTGGTGACGCCCGGGTGGCAGTGGCCGAGGTTGGTCACGCCGACTACAGGGGCGGGACATTGTCAGCTCACGATCAGGATGGCCCGACCCGCACAAAGAGAGAGGGTGGACGCACTGCCGCAGGTAAAGTCGAGGATGGTGCGGCCGCACTCGGTCTTGAGGTACGAGCCCTTGCCCTCGGTCATGACCATCTCGGTGAAGCGCCCGACACTGCGCAAAGGGGAGATGCGGCGCGCAAGGAGAGAGGGAGGGGAGGCAAGGGCGAGGTGAGCGCGTGATCTTATTGAGAACGGGGCGAGGATGCTCCTCGGACGAGAGGTGGCCACACGGGCCGCCAGGTCGCGCGCGACGTTCGGTGAGAGCTCCTGCACGCCATCGGCACGCTCTAGACCGCCCACAGGCGCACCGCGAGCTGCGGTGGTCGACGTGCGCCAACCGGCCGACTCGTCCGTGGCGTGGCGCTCGAGACGGCGAGGAAGAGGTGGGAGACGAGCGGCTCACCCCTTGGCGACGTGCTTGGCACCGACAGCAGCGAGGGAGGCCATGCTTGCGGTAGCTGAGTGTGGTGGTGAGGGAGGAGGAGGAGCGGCGGAGGCTGCCGACGACGACGAGCCAAAGTTGACTTGGTGGGCGTCGAGCGCGACTGCGGCTCGTTTGCCTGCAAAGCTCCGCCCTGCCGACCCTTTTCTTCCTGCCCTTCCGAGGCCTCCCCACTCGTCTCGTGATAGCAGCTCGTAACAGAGCGGGGCGGCGAGTCGGCGCCGCGAAAAAAAGATTGGCCCACTCGCAACTCACTCTGCGCCTCTTCGAGCAGGGCACCCGGAAGCTGTGCAAGCGCGTGCTCGTCAGACGCGCTGGATCGAACGAGCGAGGGCGAGAAAGGCGCGACGGCCCCACCTCCGCCGCGCTCGCCGACGACGGCTTGACTCTCGCTCGCTCCCTGCCTGCACCAGCTCGTGCGGCTTTCGTGCGCACACGCTGCGCTGCATGTCGGCTTCCATCGAGCTGCAGCCGCTCGAGCGCACGCCGACCACCGCCTCGTCGTCGCGAACGACCGACAAGCTCGCCGACCCGCTTGCCGACGAGCCTGCAGCACCAGTCGAGGGACCGCCGGCGCACAAAGAAGGTGCGTCACCGCTCTCGCGACCTGTCGCCAGACGCCCCCCGACCTGACGATTGCGCCCGCAGCCTTCTCGTCCTACCCCGACGGCGGCATCCTCGCGTGGTCGCAAGTCGCAGCGTGCTTTACCCTGTTCTTCACCACGGTTGGAGGCATCTACAGCTGTACGTCCCCCACATGTCGCGAGGCGGTCGAGGCAGACTGCGCACGAGACGGTAGCTGACCTCGTCGTTCGCGCGCAGGGGGCGTCTTTCAAGATGCGCTCGTAACGGCCGACGTCGCGTCCGCCTCGACCCTCGCCTTTGTCGGCTCGACCCAGGCGACGATGCAGGCCATCCTCGCGATCCCGATCAGCCGGCTCATCGCCGTATACGGACCGGTGCGCCCCCTTCTTCCCTTCCCCTCCTTCTTTCCCTCGAGCCTCGACTTGACGACACACTGACGTCCTCTCTCCTGTAGCGTTGGGTTGCTGTCGCAGGGACGGCGTGTACTGCACTCGGCCCGCTCCTCGCGAGCTTCTGTACCCGCAGCGTGCCCGGCCTTCTCATCACCGAGGGTGCGTGCGCTCGTCTTCCTCTGCCCGGTCCGTCGGCTCTCGACCTGACCCTCATTACTCCTCGCCGAGACAGGTCTCGTGTTCGGCATCGGCGAGGCGTGCTGCTTCTTCTGCGCGGCGACGCTCCCGTCCATGTACTTCAGCTCGCGACGCAACGTCGCGACGGGCATCGTCTACTCGGGCGCCGGCATCGGCGGCGCCGTCCTCAGCATCACGACGAGTGCCCTCTTGCAGCGTACCAGCCTCGGGTGGACGTTCCGCAGCCTCGCCCTCATCATGCTCGGGCTCAACCTGCCGGCGTCGCTCGCGCTCAAGAGTCGCCTCGAGCGGCAACCTCTGCGCGGTGGCGGCAAGCGGTTCGACTGGTGCGTCTGCCTGTCCGTCGTGAGGAGCGTCGACGGAGCCGTCTCCGACAGCACGAGGGACTGACGAGCTCGTACGCGCGCAGGGCCATCTTTCGCGACGCCAACTTCGTCCTCCTCCTCGTCGGCACCTCCATTGCACTTTTTCCATTGTTCGTAGCGCCGTTCTTCTTGCCGCTCTACGCGACGAGCGCCGGCTTCTCCAAGACGGCGGCAAGCTGGGTCCTGGCGGGCTTCAACCTGTCGAGCGCCGCCGGCCGGATCGCGTTCGGGCTGGGCGCCGACCGGTTCCTCGGCAGCCTCAACTCGCTCGTCATCTGCCTGTTCTTCAACGGACTGAGCTCCTTCGTCCTGTGGCCGTTTGCGAGCGCGCTCGGTCCTCTGTGCGTCCCTCTCGTTCTCCCTTTCCTCCCTTCCCCCGCCCGCACTGACCTCTTCCTCTCGCCTCTCCCCTCCTGCTCCTCCCGGTTGCAGCATCGCCTTTATCGTCGTCAACGGCGTTTGCGCGTGTGTGACGCGACTCTCTCTCTCGCTCTCTCGCCAAGCGAGCGCCAAACTGACCTGCTCGTCGTCCTCGCAGCGGCGGCACTTTCTCGCTCATCCCGGGCGTCCTCTCGTCGGTCTTTGGCTCGGCCCGACTGTCCGACATCTTCTCCATGAGTACGTCGAGCGCTTTCCTCGACGTCGCCTATGGTGGCTCGAGCCCCGTCACTGACTCTTTCCCCTCGGCCCTCTCCTCCCTCCCGCCCTCGCCTTCTCCCTCGCTCCTCGCCGCTCCCCCTCAGTCCTCTCCTTCTGGTCCGTCGGCTACTTCCTCGGCAGCCCCATCGCCGGGTACCTCTTGCAGGCCGGCGGCGGCGCCGCCCGAGGACCCGAGGCGTACCTCGCCGCCGTCCTGTACGCCGGCGCGCTCTCGACCGCGGCGTCGGCACTCGTGCTCGCCGTCAGGATCATCCAGAGTCGGCGCGTGTGGAAGAAGCTGTAGAACTTTCGTAGAAGAGCTCGTCGAGGAATCCGTCTTGCGCAGAGCGCGTCTCTCTTGTCGACCGTCGGCGACGGCGCGCCTCGTCTCTCAGGCTGCGTCGTTTTTGCTCGGCAGCTTGCGTGAGAGTTGCTGCGAGATGACTGCGTCGGCGCAAGCCCGGAAATGCGAGCGGACAAGCAGGAGAGGAAGAGCAAGAACCGCCGACCGCCGACCTCGCACGCGAGCCGCTCGGACCGCCAAGTTCAGCACTTGACGTGCGACCTGTCCAGACCGTTCGAGTCGCTCGGACTTCCGACGAGCGCGGATTGTGAGACTGCGAGGAGGATCAAGCGGGGCTCGCGTGGTGCCCAAGTCTGGCGGAGGCGAGAGGAACGCCGGGCAGGGGTTGAGCCAGATGAGCTTGCGTGCTACCGCTGCCCTAGCCACGAGCAGGATGGCCAGCAATAGCTCACACACGACGCCGCAGCGACGTCGGACGAGCGCACCTCCCGCCCCCGCGTCGCTCTCATCGTCGTCGTCCCGCCGCCTTGAACCGGACCTCCATCTCACCCCACCCTCGCTCTCGGCCGTCCAGCGCACGCATCTACGCGCCGTTCGAGCCCAGGTGCACTCGCCACGTGTGCTCGCCGCCGCGCCATCGCCCCTCGTCATCGTCGCCCACCTCGCCTCCGAGTCGCTCAACTCGTCGCCGCCCTGTCCAGGCTGCCCGCCCGCCTTGGCCCGCCACTAGCTGTCGCCGCACCGCCATGATCAGCCTTCCCGCACGCCCGAGGCGCACCACCATCGCGACCGGCGCGCGCTCGACGACGGCCCTCCTCGGCGGCGGCGGCGCAGCAGGACGGCCGGCCAACAAGGGCCGCCGACGCAAGTTGAGCGTGCCACTCGTCGTCCTCCTCGTCGTGCAAGGGCTCGTCCTGCGGCATTGGTGGGCCAGTCGCGACGACGACGGCGAGGGCACCAAGGCGGCCCTCGCGCGCATCTGGCCCTCGACCTGGGACCGCCCCGTCGGCGTCGGCCCGGGCACCACGTCGACGGCGCTGCGGCGGCGCAGCGACCGTGCCCTCGACGCCCCGTTCGCCCTGTCCGCCGATCCGCTCCCCGTCCACCACGTGCACGAGCAGATCCACTTCCACAACCACCCGCTGTCGCCGCACCGCCCGCCGCCCAACCAGTTCCTCCTGTCGCCCAAGGCCGTCTCGAGCGGGCTCCTCAAGCGCACCGCACCCGTCATCAGCATCGTCACGGCAACGCAGAACCCGCGCGCCATCATGCTCGAGACGGCGGCGTCGGTCCTCGGCCAGAGCCTGCAGAACGTCGAGTGGGTCATCGTCGACGACCACACGACCGACCCGGACTCGCTCGCCATGCTGCGCCAGATCGCGAGGGACCCGCGCGTCGTCATCGTGCCCAACACGGGCGCCAAGGGCCTGTCGGCGAGCCGCAACGTCGCCCTGCGGTGGATCCTGAGCGACGACAAGCTGAGGGCCGGGCGCCGGCCAAAGTACCTCGCCAGCCTCGACGACGACGACCTGTACGAGCTCACGGCCCTCGAGAAGGTGCGTCCCGACCGTTCTCCCCTCGTCGACTATCCCGTCCTCTCGCGCGCGCACTGACCTCGTCTCCCTCTTCCGCTCGCAGACGATCTGGATGCTCGAGTCGAACCCCGAGTGGGACCTCGGCGGGTTCCAGGTCATCAAGTTCAACGCCAACAACGAGACGGTCACGATGGGCCTGCACTCGGGCGCCGCCAACTTCTTCAACGTGCGTCCCTCGTCCTCCTCGCATGCCGCGCCGACAAGTACTGACACACCTTGCTCCCTCTGCAGGGCAACTTTGTCCCGAACGCCGCCATCTACACGACTCGCGCCGTCATCAACTCGGGGTGCGCGTACGACGACGTCAACTTTGCCGTCGGCGGCGAGGACTGGGACTTCTGGATGTGCCTCGCCGAGGTCCGTCCCGCCTTTGTCTCTCTCTCTGCCACTCTGTCCCTCGCACTCAGTCACTGACGCTCGACGTCTCGCGCAGCACGGCCACTGGGGCGGCACGGTGCCCGAGCCGCTGTACTGGTACCGCGGCAACCCGGCCGCGTTCCGCCAGTCGCGGTGGGGCAATATGTTCGTCGACGGCTTCTCGTCGCTCAAGCAGCGCATCCACGACAAGCACCCTGCGCTCGCCGAGCCGGGCCGGTTCCCCGACCCTCCTGTGCGCCCGTCGCGCCAGCTCGAGGCGATCGTATGGGACGCGCCGTTCGAGACGCACCTCGCGCGGTTCAAGAAGTCGATCATGTTCATCGTCCCGTGGCTGTACGTCGGCGGGGCCGACATCGGCGCGCTGCACCAGATCCAGCTGTTCGCCGAGCAGGGTTACCGCGTCACGATCGTGTGCACCCTGTACCGCAGCCCGCAAGGTGTCGAGCTCCGGCCCCAGGTCCTCCAGTACACGCACGACGTCCACGTCCTGCCGTCGTTCCTGCGCGCGAGCGACATCCCGCGCTACATCAAGTACCTCGTCCACTCGCGCGGCATCGAGGACGTCGTCATGAGCAACTCGCAGCTCGTGTACGAGATGCTGCCCGCGCTCGCCGAGCAGATGCCGCACGTCAAGTTTGTCGACGTGCGTCTCACGCTCTCTGTCCCTCTCGTAGTCATCGTCGGCCCGACCGTCCCTGACCGCCGCTTTGGCCCCCCTCCCTCGCGCAGTACCTCCACAACGAGGCGTACGACGGCTGGAAATCGGGCGGGTACCCGACGTTCTCGCTCATCTCGCAGCGGTTCCTGTCGCGCACCGTCACGTGCTCGTGGTACCTGCGCGACTGGCTCATCCAGCGCGGCCACACCAACCCGGACGCGATCGGCGTCGTCAAGCTCGGCATCGAGGTGGCCGACTTTGCGCCGGCCAACGCGACGACGCGAGCGCTCGCCAAGCGCGACCTCCTCGACGTGCCCGAGTCGACGGTCGTCATCTCGGTCGTCGGCCGCCTCGACCCGCAGAAGCGTTCGACGCTCGTGCCCGACATCGCCAACGCCCTGCGCCGGCTCGGCACCTTCACAAAGGGCGACTTCCTCGTCGTCATGCTCGGCGACGGCCCTCTCAAGGACGAGGTCAAGGCGCGCGTGTCCGAGTTCCACGTCGGCGACTTTGTGCGCCTCGTCGGCACGGTCGAGCACCCGCAGGCGTACCTCGCCGCGACCGACATCTTCCTCCTGCCGTCGATGAGCGAGGGCATCTCGATCGCCGTCGCCGAGGCCATGGCCATGGCCCTGCCCGTCGTCACTGCGCGGGCGGGCGCGCTCCCCGAGCAGCTCGGCGAGCTGCCGGGCCACGTCGTCGACAAGGCGCAGCTCGCCGGCGTCCTCGTCGACCACGTCCTCGACGCCGCTGTCGACGCGCCCCTATACGCCGACGAGCTGTACCGCCTCATCCAGGACCCCGAGCTGCGCGCCGAGTTTGGCGCCAACGGCCGCAAGAACGTCGAGTCGACGTTTGACTGGCGCAAGACGCTCGTCGGCATGCTTGGCGAGATCAAGAAGGCCGAGGTGGTCGACCTCAAGAAGGCGCGCTCGATGCCCAACCCAGCGGCCCACTTTGCGCTGCAGAACGTCCTCCTCGAGAACCACTCGGTGCGTCCGGCTCTCTCTCCCTCTCTTCCTCCTCCTCCCCTTGACGTCCCTGACCCTCTCTCGCCTTTGTCCTCGCCCCCTCGTCTCGCCTTGTCGCCCGCAGGAGACCGACTTTGCCGCCGCGCAGAGCGCCCTCAAGGCGCCGAACCGGTCGGGCGTCGGCAAGGACCTGCAGGAGCGCTGCGGCGAGACGTCGTCGGCCCTCACCGCCTGGATCGACTCGGTCGAGGCGCCGCAATCGTGCGCCAAGGGCGGCAAACTCGACGCGGCGACGCTGCAGCGCAGCGCCAAGTTCCAGTGTGGCGCATGGTGAGCTCGCTCGTTCTCCTCTCTTTCGCCCTCGCCCTCCCTTCTTCGTGCCTCGTCACTGACTCGCGTCCTCTCGTGCGCAGGTGCCTGTTCGACCTGACGACGGCGCTGTACGCCGGGTGGGCGTTCGACGGCCGGTGCTTCACGCCGTTCGACGACCTCTCGCCTGGCTGGTGCAAAGAGTGCGTCCCGCCCTTCCCTCGCCTCTTCTGCGTCTCTGCCTCAAGGTCGTCGAGACTTGGCTCTGACCGGTACGCAACCGCGCAGGTTCTGGTCGAGCCGGCCGAGCGGCGTACGCCTGCCCAAGGACATTGCGATCCGGCTCCTCGACGACGGCGAGGGCGACCTGGACGACGACGAGGACGACTAGGCTCGACTCGGAGGGGTCGAGCTGTGAGGGGGTGGGGCTGGGAGGCGAGAGAGGGGCAGCTGTCCGTGGTCGTTTGCGTTCGAGGGCGGCGAGGGTCGAGCGAGCGCGGTCTTTTTCTCTCTCTCTCTCTCGGTTTGTCCGGTCGGTGGTCCTCGTCTGTCGTGCTGTCCTTTGTCTTCGTTATTTGCATTGCATCCTAGAGCCGTTCCTGTCCACTCTCGCGTCGTCGCAGTCGTCGCCGGTCGTTGCGCTGCGCCAAAGTCGGACGACGCGACGAGGCGCGCGAAGCTGCACTTCGGCCTTCGTCCCCCTCGGTCTTCTCACGCACCCGCACCAGCAGCCTGCTCAGCTGCACAAGCTCGTGGACACCATGAGCGACGGCCCTCGTACGTCCACAGCCCGCCTGCGCAGTTCGAGGCTCCCCTCGAGCGAGCTCTCTTCATCTCCCCCCGGACGGTCTCGCTCACCGTCCTCGCCTGCGGGCCACACAGCCTCGACGCCGCCGCGCAAGACGGTCGTGCAGCGCACAAACGCCCACCTGCACAAGCGCACCTCGTCCAAGATCACCCTCCTCCTCTCGCCGCCGACCCCTCCTCATGGCACCGCCGCGTCGTCCACCTCGTACCGCATCATCCCCGAGTCGCCGAGCAGCTCGCGCGTCATGTCGCCGCCGTCCAAGCGTCGTGCGGCGATCCAGCCGCTCGCGTGGGGACCGGACGCGGTGAGCGCAAAGTGCGCGAGCGGATTCTGGACGAGGCGGCGGGTCCTCGTCCTCGTCGGCATGGCGCTCGTCGTGCTCGTCGTTGCGAGGCGGCCATCGGTGTCGACGGCGAGCTGGCGGCGGCGAGGCGCAGGTGCGGGTGGCGACGAGCAGGCAACGTACGGGCGCAGCAACGTCGAGCCGGCCGCTCGCAAGGTCGAGCACGTCGCGCCCGAGCCCGTCAAGTACTACCCTGCGCCGCCACCGCCACATGCCCCCGGCGCAGCTCCCGTCGCACGAGTGCGGCCGCACAAGGGCCCTGTCGCGAGGCCGGCGAGGCGGCCAGAGCCGCACGACCTCGAGGTCACGTCGGCGACCGACCCGGACACGGCGAGGCGCTACCTCCTCGTCGGCTGGATGGGCGAGCAAGAGACCAAGGCGCAGCAACACCTGTACCAGCTCGGCCTCCTGTCGCTCGCCCTCAACCGCACGCTCGTCCTCCCGACCGTCAAGCGCTCGCGGTTCGGCACCTGTTTCGACGGCCCGTTCTCGCTCTACTACGCCGAGGACACGCTCGCCAAGTTTGGCTTCCCGTCCATCACGTCGGACGACTTTTGGGCGTGGACCGACCGCCAGCGGTCGGCGCCGTCGGCCCAGATCGTCAGCCTCGTGCGCGGGTCGGTCGACGTGCACGACGAGTCCGGGCACCCGCTCGAGCACATGTGCCTCTCGGAGCGCAACCTCGACTTTGGCGACCACGAACCGCTCACGTTCTACAACGAGGGCAAGTCGGCGGCGTCGCGAGCCGACTTTGGCGTAGACCTCGTCCAGCGCCTCCTCGAGCAAGAGCCGGCCCCCGACGACCCCGACCGCCACGCCAAGACGCCGTCCGTCCTCGTCGCCGACGTCCACCTGCGCTACCCGTTCCTCACCCCGTCGCTCGTCGCCAACCTGTCGCCGTTCGACTTTGCCCGCCCGGCGCCCTACTCGTACTTCCCGTACTCGCCGCACTGGACCGCCCTCGGCGAGCGCATCGCGTCGTCGCTCTCGCCCTTCATCGCCGTGCACTGGCGCACCGAGACGCTCGCCGTCGAGACGCTCGCGCCGTGCGGCGACGCCCTCGTCGGCGCGCTCGAGGCCCTCGCGCGCGACCACCCCGAGCTCGGGACCGTCTACCTCGCGACCGACTACCCGCTCGAGGTGGCGCGCAGCACGGACGGCGCCGCGCTCGAGCGCGCGACGGCCCACAGCGGCACCATGACCAAGACGCTCACGCCGGCGCACCATGCCGCCATGCGGCGCTTTGTCGCCAAGATGGACGCGAGCCCGCTCCGCGTCACGACGTTCCTCGACGAGCAGGCGCACGTCGAGCTCCCCGACGAGCTGCAAAAGATGGTTGGCTCGGGCGGGCTCCAGGACCTCGACGGCGCCATCGTCGGCATCGTCGACAAGATTGTCCTCATGCAGGCCGAGGGTGCGTCTCCCTCTTTGTCTCTCTCCTTCTCTCTCTCTCTCTCTCTCGTTGCCGCGTCGCAAGAGTCCGCGACTGACACGCTCTCGGACCGTTCGCAGTCTTCTACGCCGGGTTGCCAGTGTCCGAGTCGCCGCAAGGGTGCGCCAAGGCGAGCAGCTTCACGACCCAGATCACGAACGGGCGGCACGACCTGCGCGAGGGCCAGGGCGCGATCGGCTCGAGGCTGCGGGGCGACGTCGAGCATTTCGCGCTGCCGGGCGGGAGGATGGCGCGCAAGGGCGGAAGAGGGAAGAGGCACAGCTAGACGATCCGAGACGCTTGAGATAGACATTGCTGCAGCACGCTTTTGCACCTCGACTCTCCTTTGCGCACGAGAGAGAGAGAGAGAATGAGCGAGGCTGCGTTACGAGTCTATCCTGGATCCCGACCCGTCTTTCCGTCTCGGCGTCCCAGCTCCACCGATGCTGCGCCCGCTCCGTCCGGCTCACCGGCGAGCGTCGACGACAGCTCCTTCTCCTCCTCGTCCGACGACGACGACTGCCCCTGCCTCTCGGCCTTCTCGACGTCTGCGCCCTTTCGCTGCGCACGGTCCTTGGCCCCGCCGGCAAGCACCGTCCCCTCCCACTTCGTCCCGCACGCGCGCATCGAGTCGCCCCACCGGATCGTGACGAGCACGAGCGCGCACCCGAGCCAGACGACGAACGCCGAGAACGTGTTGGTCCAGCCGATGCCGATGGCGTCGATCATAGGGAGCACAAAGGCCGATGCGGCGGCCGAAAGGATGTAGCGGCAGGCGCTGCGAGGGTGGCCGCAGGGAGAAGAGGGTCAGGGCTCGTGCGCAAATCGACGAGGGAGAGGAGGAGGGGAAGGTGGGACGCACTTGTTGACGGCGATGCCCTCGGCCGAGCGAGGCCCGAGGACGTCCGTGATGTACCTGAAGGCGCAGAAAGGGTTGCAGCACAGTCAGCGGAGCGGCTCGACTGGGAAGAGGCCTGAGCGCCTGGGGGACAGCGCACGTGTTGGCCGGCGTAAGCACGCACTGCGAGCACGAGGGGGACGTCAGCGACCTTCTCGCGAGAGGACGCTCGAGAGCTCGAGGAAGAGGGAGAGGAGGGGGGAGGCGCACCATGAGCCCAATCCCGTCGACAAAGAGAAGCAGCACGGCGAACGCGAGCCCGACCTTCCCCGCTCCCCGCTCGAGGACCCAGCCGAGCGCGAGGACCGACAGCGGGAGGATGACGCCGCCGCCGATGAGGGTCGCCCGCAGGCGGTCCTCGGGGTAGTAGTGCCCGCCGCGCAGACGCAGCCAGCGCCGCAAGGTCCAGTCGGCGTACATGCCCGTGAACCTCGACGCGACGGCGTTGCCGACGCCCTGGGCGAGGTAGAAGCAGCCCAGGAGCGCCGAGTTGGTGATGTTGTACCGCGGCGCCAAGGTGGAGCTGAGCGGGACGAGGATGGCTGCGTGTGGGACGAGTCCGAGGGTCAGTGCGGCGCGACGAGAAAGAGAAGGGGGAGCGAGGACGCACTGTAGGTCGACATGAGGGTGAAGCTCGAGTTTAACGAGATGGCGAGGATCGTCGGGTGGGCGAGGAGCTTGACGGGTCCGAGCGGATTGATCCAGATCCACACGAGCTTGTCCCACCTGCGCCTCGCCCAGCTCATGCCCTCTCGACGCTCCTCCTCTTCGCGCTCGAGCGCCTCGACAGCGACGCCCGCCGCGTCGGCTCGATGCTGCAGTCGCTCTTGGCGCACGACGTCGACGCCCTTGACGTGCGCCGTCTCGGGGAGGAAGAAGAAGACGAGGGCGAACGCGCTGAACCCGAGGGCCATGAGGAGCCACTGCATGGCGCGCCAGCCCGTGCCCTCGGGTCGGACGTACTCGGTGAGGATGCCGGCGACGGCGGGCGCCGTCGCTGGGCCGACGAGGATGCCGAGCTGCGGGTGCGAGGAAAGGGTCAGGGACTCGTCGCGCCGACGTCAGGGCAAGAGTGGGACGCACGTAAAAGAGGCCCATGGCGGCACCGCGCTCGTCCTTCTGGTACAGGTCGCCGATCGTGCCGGCACCGATGCTCAAGACGGGCGACGAGCCGAACGCCTGCAGGATGCGGGTCGCGATGAGGGCGCCGAGCGACTGCGACAGTGCCGTGCCGAGGCAGCCGAGGGCAAAGACCGGCAGCGAGATGAGGTAGATGGGGCGACGGCCGTCTGCGCGAGGGAGAGCGAGTCAGCGCTTCGTGCGACGAAGCTCGAGAAGAGGACGAGGCGACGCACAGAGGCCCGAGTACGGCGCGAATGCTAGAGGGAACAGCCCGATGCAGAGGATAAAGACCGCGACCGTCACGTTGATGATGGCGGCGCTGGTGCCGAGGTCGGCGCTGATCTGCGGAATGGAAGGAAGGAACGACGAAGAGGAGAAGGCTGCGGCGGCGAGCTGCGTCAGTGCCGGTCTGGCTGAGAGAAAGGGAGAGCGAGACGCACGTGCGAGTAGAGCAGCGTAGGCCACGATGGCCACGACGCGCCGCTTTTGACCCTTGGTGAAGCGAGCGTACATGGCCTGCGCGCGCGCCTCCGTCTCCTCGACCGTCTCGCCGTCCTCGCCGAGCGCCACCTCCTCCTCGACGACGTGCGCCTCTGCGTCCTCGTCTATCCGCCCTTGCGCACCGACGACAACGACCGGCCCTCTGCGCGTGTGGCCCCTCCTGAGCCCGGCACCGCCGGCGTATCCGACCCGAGGCTGCGACGGCGCGCGCTCGAGGACGGTGAGGCGGGTCGCCTCGGGCAAGTCGTGCGCGCTGGATGCGGGTACGTCGGCGTTGGACCAGGCCGAGGCTGCCGAGAGGGTGCGGGCGAGTGGCCGGAAGGTGGTCGAGGCGGCGGAGGGTGCGGAGGTGGGTGGTGCTGGGGCGGGCGCAAACGGGTGCGCAGGGGCCTGCTCAGGTGGCGGCATGGCAGCAGGGGCAGCCTCAAGAGCAGCAGGGCATGAGGCGACGGAGCGAGAGCCAAGTTTGTCGTCCGTCTTCATCAGCTCGCCTCGACGTTCCCCGCCAACCGGCCGGGTCGCTCGCTCTTCACCCACAGCCTCGGCAGGCTCTCTGACTTGCTCGCCGGTCTCTCTCAGCTCGTGGCTATCTACCTGTGCTCAACCGAGCACGGGCGCAGCGCTGCCTGCCTCTCTCCTCCTCCTCGAGCTCTACTTCGCCCGGACGGCTTCCGTGCTCCACGAACCGCGTGGAGGGGCGAGCCGACCCGCGCGGCGTACATCCTGTGCTATGGGGCGTCAGACGGCCGCATCGCTGCACCGCTAGCGGTCGAAGCGGCTCTTCGACTTCCTCTCGACCGCTCGCGGCGACTCTTGCTGCTCGGCTGCTCGCTCTCGAAGTCGAGCGCGCGCGACCTCGCAGGCTCAGAAGCCGCACAGAGCACCGGGCATGCTCAGCGAGCTCGGCCTCGGCGACCTCGCTGGCGAGCTGGCGAGCTGGCTCGCCACGGCGCCTCACGCCGGTGCGACCTCACTCGAGCCGAGCGTGCGCTGCTCGTCGCCTCTTGCTGCAAGACCAGCTCAAGCACGTCGAGCCTGTCACTCCTGCTGTTCCCGAAGTCGAGCAAGAGGACGCTGTCGGTCCGCTCGTGCTTCGAGCGCTCGCCGTCACAAACCGGGTTCGCAACGGACGGCCGGCGAGGCACGCTCTCGCTCGCAGCCAACCTCGCACCTTGTCACAGCTGGCAAGCTCTCCCGTCGGAGAGTGTAGACGGGCGCGAGGTGGCCGAGATCGCTGCGACAAGTTCGACTGGCAGCTCGCGAGGTCGAGCGGCGTCAGCGTCTCTTTGCCAGCGCGCGAGCTTCGCCGGCACCTCCCTGCTCACCGTGCGTCTCAAGGTCAAAAAGCGCTTGACCCGACAGCCTCGTCTCGTGAGAAAAGAGAGAGGTCGAAGCCGCCATCGCTGGCTCGCCAAAGAGCGTTTCCAAAATGCGAGTTTCTCGCCTTGCAAGCTGAGCGCAGCTCCCGGCCGACATGAGCCTCAAGCCAAGCATGCTGCCGCTCGATCCCCTGCGAAAAGCTAGAGATCGGGATGCGCGAGCGAGGTCGACGAGACGATCCGAAAGTGAGGGTCTGTGCGCCGAGAGACGAGCCAGCGCGGCTTGACGAGCGTTTCCCGTCGGGCGAGGAGCGCCTCTCTGTCTCTCGCTCGGACAAAGAGCTCGTGAGCAGTGCCCCTGTTCGCAAAGCGCTTACGAGCAGACCGACCTCGAGCGCCGCTCGAGCGTCAAGGTCGATTTGGGAAGGTCAACTCGCGCAACTCTCGAGGGATCGCAAAGGTGTCACAGACACAGTCATTGCAGTCCCGAACAGCCAATATTGTATAGAACGCCGTCTCGCACCCGGTCCCCAACTCTCAGCCCCGCAGCTCGTACCGCGGCACCTCGACGACGTCCGCCGACCCGTCCTCCTTCTCCTTGTCCTCGCTGACGGCATCCTCGCCGTCGACCTGGACGGCGCCCATCTGGCACTCGGGCGGGACCCAGACGCCCTTGGGCTCGGACCACGTGTCGCGCGCGTTCGGTTGCGGGCACAGCCGCGTGAGGACGTAGTAGGTCGCGCCGGCGCCAAAAGTCGACGTAAAGATGGCAAAGTAGTAGCTGTGGGCGAGGCGCAGGTTCGAGAACACTCCGAGGTTCTGGAGGAAGCCGGCAAAATTGACTCCGACTGCGTACGAGGTCGCAGTCAGTCCCTGAGGCGCTCGAGCTCGTTCGCACGAGGAATTTTGACGCACCGCCGACGAAGTAGGCGACAAAGGCCCGCCAGTTGCAGCCACATGAGTACCCTGTGTCGACGGCGACGAACGTAGTCAGAATAGTAGTCCGAGAACAGGCGCGAGAAAAGAAGAGCCGCTCGACGCACAGTAGGCGCCGTCCTTGCGGCGAGTGTAGAGGTCTTCGTAGATGAAGAAGCCCTGCGAGAAGAAGGGGTGGGAGGAGCAGGCATAGGGAGAGAAGGGCGACGAGGAAAGAGGGCGGCGAGAAGCAAGAGGGTCAGTAAAGGTCGGGCGGCTTCAGGCGAGAGAACGCGGACCGAGGGCGCACCTTTGCGACGAGGAAGTAGTCGGTGATGAGGATGCCGCAGATCGAGAAGAGGAAGATCTGGTAACTCGACAGGACGGTGATGAACATCGAGGCGCTGCCGAGGAGGTACCACGGGTTGAGAAGGCAGGAAGCGGCCTGCGACGACGCGAGGGAGTCAGTCGCTTGTCCCGGTTCGCGACCCAACACACACAAAGAGAGGGAGAGAGAGGCGCACGATGCAGATGTAGAAGCCACGCTTGACCGAGATGAAGCGCGGCAAGAGGGCGGCCAAGTCGTTGCCGCAGGCTGCAGGTCAGGAGCTGTCAGTACAGGCCCGTGCGTCGCAAAGAGGAGGAACTGGACGCACGATAGATGTTCTCGACGAGGCAGGAGAAGAGGAGGCTGTACAAGAAGCCGGTGCTGATAAAAAACGCCGCCGCACGGTGCTTGGCGTCGTAGTTGTCCTCGAGCAGGCGAGCGAGGAACGCCGTCGGGAGCCAGATAACCTCGCCATAGATGACCTCTGAGCAGCTTGCCTGCAGGGGAAGGACGAGGGGTCAGCTCTCGGTCGGGCAAAAGGAGGACCGAGTGTCGAGCCTGAGGAAGAAGCGATCGCGAGGCCGACTCACAGAAATGAGACCCATGGCGTTGACGAACAGGTTGCTGAGAGGAAAGCCGAGGAGCTGGCCGAGGATCGGGTCGTTGGGTCGGGTCGAGTTGCGCTGCCAGTCCGAGGCGTTCGAGGCGAACGTCGAGCACGATGCCGCCGAGGTGAGGATCATCCGGACGAGGAGCCAGGCGTGCTCGGACCCATGGACCTTGGACGGCGCTGTCAGGACGGTACCGACGCCGCCGCCGGCCTTGGTGATGACGAGGGCGAGCATGCCGGCCGTGCTGATGGCGAACACGACGAGCTTGATGTAGACGATCCGGTGCCACTTGTGCACGCCGAGCGTGAGCATCGACGCGTTGAGGCCGAGGAAAAGGAAGAAGCAGATCATCTGCGCCTGCAAGAGGGCGAGAAGGAGGGTCAGAAAGTCGAGACGAGCCGGGAACGGGGAGGCGAGGAAGTGGATCAAGGGGCGCACCGAGGTGAGGGCCGAGTTCGGGCCCATCGTGTTCTTCGGGATGCGCGAGAAGGACGGGAAGACGGCGTGGAGCGTGATGTAGAGGGCCTGAGCGCCCGAAACGGCGCTGCGAAGGTCGAGGGTCAGTCGCGAGATCTTGGTGGGAGCGGCGAGGACGACCGCCTACTTTATCGATTGCCAGACCATACTCATAAACGCGCGGTTCAGCGCCGGCCAGGCCGCCCCAAAGACGCCGAAGGACGAGCGGCAGCAGATAGGGAAGGGCACGGCCCACTTGGCGCCGGGACGACCGCAGGCGATCATCCAGAGCGACACTAGAGCGAAGCCGGCGCAGCTGCAGCCTAAGCCCTCGAACGGCGTGACGCCGAGGGCCAGGAAGGAGCTTGCTGCGGACCAGTTGGACCTGGACGACGAGGAGGTCAACGACGTCCAGGAGTTCAGGAACGCTCGAGGACTCACACGTTGGTGACGGCGGCCAGCCAGAACAGGCTGAAGAACCGCTTGTTCCAGGTGCGCTTGTCGAGCGGCGTCGAGCGCAGGTCGGGCGAGTCGAGGATGCGAGAGCCGCCCTGCTCGGCGGGGATCTCGAGGCGCTTGATGATGCTCGACATGCCGGCTTGTACCGCGACAGGTCGTGGCGTGCGAGAGTACAGTATCGGCTGAGCGATTGTCGAGGAGCGAAGAGCGGGAGCAGGGAGCCGGACGAGCGCGGACGGCAGATTCGACGAGCGGCCGGCGCGCAAGATTGCGCGGCCGTGAGCCCGCGAGCTGGAGCGCAGGAGCAAGCGGAGCCCCTGTAAGGCACAGCGCAGAGCCACCGCCGGTCGAAGGGGCGAGCACGAGGTTTTTGGCGCTGCCAAGGAGCAGGAGAACGCCGGCGGCGGAGCTTGCCCCGCCTCGTCTCCACGCGATCTCGCTGCATGGTTTGCGCGCCTGCAGTCTGCCCTGGGCTCCTCGCGATCCGCTCCAGTCCGTCCAGCTGTGCCCGTCGCTCGCCCCGCCGCCGCCTCCTCGGCTCATCTCCCAGCTCGAGCCGACGGCGCTTATCGCCCCTCGTCGCCCTCGCTGCCACGAGCACGACCGGCGGTATCCTCAGCACCTGTCCGCGCAAGTCCGCTGCGCGACTCCCGGCCGCTGCGCTCAAGCTTGCCCGCGCCGCTCGCCCGAAACCACAATCGCGCCTATCTCGACCTCGACGTCCAGCTCCCGTCGCTCTCGCCTCGCCCGCCGTCCACCTCCAGCAGCACCAGCGGACGCGCCATGCCCGCCATCACGACCCCTTTGCGTGCCGTCATCAACTTTGGCGTGCCAAAGCACGAGCTCTCGGTCGAGCAGCAGCAACACTACCTCGCCCGCTTCGACGCCGCCGACCCGGTCCCGACTCGCAAAACGACCGTCCCGATCTGGGACCTGCGGCAAGAGTTCGATGCGGGCCTCAAGCCTGCGCTCGAGCAGCTCGAAGAGACTGGGTCCGTGCACTCGAGCTCTCTCCCCAAGTCGACCCGCACTGACCCTCGGCTCCACCAGGTTCGCCTACGTCAAGCACCAGAGCGCCCACGTTCGCGATGGTGGTCTCGAGACCGAGGACGAGACCGAGCGGTACAAGGACGAGTGCCGCCAGCTGTACAAGGACCTTCTCGGCGCCGACGAGGTCATTGCGTGGTGCGTCTCCCTCTCTCGCCGGCCGTCCTCGGCCACTCGTACGAGGCCCTTGGCTCACGTCTCTCGCCCACAGGAACGTCGTCATTCGCGACGCCGGCGAGGGCCAGCAAGACGTCGAGGGCAAGATGCAGCTCAAGACCGAGGCGGGTCAGGTCCCGACGAGCAGCATCAAGGCCGTCGCCGGCAGCGCGCACGTCGACCAGGACGACGAGTACGCCCGCACGATCATCAAGCGCGCAGCCGGCGACGACGTGTTCGAGCGCTACTCGCGCGCCGCCATCTGCAACCTGTGGCGGCCCGTGCGCGGGCCCGTCACCAACAATCCGCTCGCCGTGAGCGACTACTCGACCATGAGCGACGAAGACGTCATGCGCATGGCCGGCAGCTACGGCAGCGCCTACTCGGTGTCGCACAGCGAGCGTCAACGGTGGGTGTACCTCTCGCAACAGCAGCCGGACGAGGCCATCATGCTCCTGTGCTTCGACAGCAACATGGGCAAGAACGGCGAGGCGCTCTACACCGGACACGTCGCGTGCTCGATCGTCAACGAGGAGCGCCTGCCAGAGCTCGTCGGCAAGCCCGAGGTGCCTCGACGGTCGGTCGAGGTCCGGCTCTTTGCGCTGTGGAAGTAGACGCTCTCCTCGCCTTTTGCGCCGCACCTGCCGTACTCTCTCGTCGTCCTCGCACATGTACCTCTCGTCCCATCTTTGCCGTTCCTCTCATTCCTCTCTCCCATCCTCCCTCCTCCCTCGACGCGGCCTTCCCAAAATCGCACGGACCTCTCGCAGTAGATCTCGCTCCTCTCTCTCTCCCGTACTCTCTCTGGGCTGTAACTCGAGTGTCTCTTCATCGTTACACCCGGCTGTGACTCATCTACAACCGAGAGAGAGAGAGAGCTCCTCGTGTTCTACTCGACCGTGATGCTGGAGATCGAGATGTCCTTCAGGGGCTTGTCACCCTTGTCGGCCCGCGCGTTCTCGATGTTGTGGATGACGTCAAAGCCGGCCGTTGCTCGGCCAAAGACGCTGTGGATGCAGGGAGAGAGAGGGCGAGGCGAGAGGGGGAGGAAAGAAAGGTCAGGTCGACCTCGAGACGGCCGCCGCCGACGCCCAGAGAGCGAGAGGGAGAGGCAGGGACGCACGTGTGCTTGTTGTCGAGCCACGGGCACGGCACGCACGTGAGGAAGAACTGCGAGCCGTTGGTCTTTGGGCCCGCGTTGGCCATGCTGAGCGTGTACGGCCGGTCGTGCTTGAGCAAGGGGTGGAACTCGTCCTCGAACGTGCCGCCCCACAGCGACTCGCCGCCCGTGCCGTCGCCGAGAGGGTCGCCCGTCTGGATCATCTGCGGGGGCCGACGCGAGCACGCAAGAGGGGCAGGTCGAGAGAAAGGTCAGTTCTCGGGCGGGTTCGACGAACCGCTCGCCGCCCGTCGCGCACACAAGAGAGAGCGGGCCTCGACGCACGAATTTGGGAATGACACGGTGGAAGATGACGTCGTCGTAGTAGTGCTTTTTCGCGAGCCCGACAAAGTTCTCGACCGTCTTGGGGACCTGGTCCGGGAACAGCTCGAGCTTGATGTCGCCGAGCGTCGTGTGCATGACGGCGCGCCTCGCGAGCGACGCGGCCGAGGTGGCGGCGGGTGCGGCGACCGTCATCTCGTCGCGCGTCGGCTTCTCGTTGTACACGTCGCGCTCGCCGGCCTTGTCTCTGCGGGGGCGCAAGGGCGAGTGAGCCGCTCGCTCCTCCCTTCGACGACTCGACGCAGGGAAAAAGAGAAAGAGGTAGGACGCACTCGGGCTCGGAGCGGGTAAAGAGGTAGAACCTCGGGCGCTTCCACGCCGTGCAGAACAAGGTCGGGTCGCGCTCGTCCTTTGGGGCGAGGAGCGGGTTCTCGGACGTGGCCATGGCGATGGTCGTGACGCCCTTCTTGATCGGCAGGCCCTGGTACAGCGCAATGTTGATGAACCGCACCGTCTCGTCCTTGCCGAGTATCCGCGCCACCTTGTTCGTCACCGTGTTGACGACTGCGGGGCGCGCACGACGGTCAGGTCAGGGCTCGAGACGACGAGAGAGGCATGAAGGAGAGAGAAAGAGGGCGCACCCTTGATGCCGAGCATGGTCGGGTACAGGACAAACTTGCCGCCCTCGTCCCACACCGGCTGCCCGACGCTCGCCGTGCTGCCCGCCCTCCCCTCCCTGACACTCTCGAGCGCCCCCTTCTCCAACTCGCGCTCGACGGCGAGCCTGCGCCCAAACTCCATCGAGTCGAGCGCGACGCCGGCCGTGCCCGCCTGCTGCATCTCCTGCACCGCCTGGAGCGACTCGTCGTACGCGCGGTGGAGCTTGGCCGTGAGGAACGTAAAGGTCGTGAGGCGCAGGTCGGGCAGAGACAGGATCGCGAACGAGTCGTAGGTCGGCGACAGGGTGAGCGCGACCGGCGTCGACTTGGTCTGCGGGGCAAGCGAGAGCGTCAGTACATCTCCCGACCCGGCCCCGCTCCTCCTGCCCCGACGCCGGACGCTCGCCGAGAGAGAGACGAGAGAGACAGGGCGCACCTTCTTGAACTCGTACAGGCTCGTCTGGGCCTTGTTGGTCCACGCGACGCGCTCGGGCTTCTCGAACGGCTCGGTCGGCTCCCAGTACTCGACCATGCCGCCGACGTCGACCGAGATGACCGTGTCGTACAGCGCGTTGTACTGTGGGGCGGCGAGTGGGGGCGAGAGTGAGCTCGTGCGACGAGAGGCAGAGAGAGACAGAGAGAGAGAGAGGGGGGACGCACGGCCATGAGGTGGACGCTCTCGCGGTGGAGCGACGACAGGGTGTGCAGCGGCTTGCCGTCGCCGCGGCCGTCGTAGATGCGGATCGCCGACGAGTCAAAGTCGGACACGGCGAGGAGCGTGCGCCCGTCGTTGCGGCCGTGGACCCACGCGCACGTGCGCGGCGCGTACGGCAGCTTGAGGATGTTGATCATGTCTGTGTGTTGGCGCTCCTCGCGCAACCAGGTCAGTCGTCCGGCTCGACGAGTAGAACGAGACGACCCGGGCGACGCACCAAAATTCTCGACGTCAAACACCTTCGCGCTGCCCTTGACGTCGAGCCCCTCAGCCGTCTTGCCGCCCGAGTCGGCGCCGAGGCTCGCGCAGCTCTTGCCGTCGTCCGACACGCCGACGCTGACGATGGGCGCGAGGTGGGTGCGGTACAGCTTGACAAACTCGATGCCGTCGGCCTGCTTCTTCCAGAACTTGAGGACGCCGTCGATCGAGGCCGTCAGGACAAAGTTGGTCCTGCGGTGCGCAAGGTGGGCGCGGGGGCGGGGTCAGCCGGGTGGGTTCGCGGACAGGACAGAGAGAGAGAGGAGGGGGCGCACTTGGTGACGGCGACGTGGGCGAGCGTGTCGCGGTGCATGAACGACTTGTAGTAGCGGTCCGAGGCCGGGAGGTGGTCGAGGTACAGCTTCTCGTGCTTGAGGACTGCGAGGAGGGGGAGTCAGTCTCGTGTCCTGCACGCTCTCCATACGAACGAGAGAGGCGGGGCGCACCCTTGCGCTTCTTGGCCGCGACCTCTGCCTCGGCGGCGGGGAGGGGCATGGGCCCGACATCGTCGTCCGAGTCGTCGTCACCTTGTGCGGCGCCGTCGACTGCGCCGACCTCGACCTGGCCGTTCTTGGGAGCTGTTGCGCGAGGGCACAGGGTCAGGGTGGGTGGTCGGATGGCGGAACAAGAGAGGGGAGATGAGACGAGGACGGACGCTCAAAGTCGATGGCGTCGAGCTGGTCTGCCTTGCGCTTGAGCGAGTCGGCAGTGTCGGGCGAGCCGTGTTCAGCTGCAGCCATGTCGGTCTAGCTTGAGCCGAGTGGGCGAGAGCGTGGGTCGACAACCCGGGGGAACACGACGGGGAGCGGTTGTCTTCCACCTCGCTCTTCGCACACGCTGCCAGGAGCACCAGCTACCTGCTGCCATGGCTGCTCAGTGGACCTACGCGACCACGGTCAAGGCCCCGCAACCCGCGCAGCTGTCGCTCTCGCTGTCGGCCTCGTCTCCTACGCCTTCATCTCTCGACTCGCTCCTCGACTCGACCACGCCCGCACTCGGCGTACGCGTGACGGCAGACGGCGCACTGCTCGACCCGCAACAGCTCGCTGCGAGCGCCGTCATCGCCGAGGTCCGCGACTGGCTCGACAAGGTGCGCCCCTCCCTCCCACTCTCCCCCACCCCGTCGCTCACTCTCGCACACGCACACGCGCAGAACAAGTCGTCAATCGCAGTCGACCAAGTCGGTTCAGCGCGCTCGACGCCCGAGGGCATCTCGAGTTCGCTCGCTCCCCTCCACAGCTCGTCGCCCTGCCCTGCGGCACAGCCCAGCTCACCAGCTCCCGCACCCTGCCCAGTCGCGCTGCACGCCTTTTCCCGCTCGGCCCGCGCCGCCACACTCTCGCTCGAGGGCGCCATCGGCTCCGAGCACCGCCGCGAGGGCCAGCCCGCCCCGGACGGCCCATCACCGTCCCACCTCGCGTCGCTCGACCTCTCGCTCGACTTTCGCTCGTCAGCAGCCCGCCCGCGCAAGAAGGCGCGCCTCGCTCGTCCCGACACACCGCCTCCCTCAGCCTCACAGCCCCACCGCCAGCACCCGCCGGGCGGCATCACGCTCGCGGCGCAGCTCCTCGACGCGAGCGGCGCGCCGCTGCATTTCGCCCTCGCGGGTCTCGTCGAGGTCGCCCTGACGCGGTGGGCCAAGAAGCTCGTCGCCGCGTTCCCGCTGTGCTTCAACGCGAGGTGGATCGAGGTGCGCCCCCCTTCCTCTCTCTCTCTCTGCGCGCGCGGCGAGGAGACGAAGGTGGGACGAGGCGGGACTGACGAGGCGCCGAGCGGGGCCGCAGAGGGTCTCGGGCGACCTGGCGGCGCAGCACTCGATCGCGGGCTCGCTCAAGCGCATCCTTGGGCTCGAGGGCGGCGGCGAGCTGCAGGCGGGCGAGGCAGGCGAGGTGGAGGACGAAGCGGCGGCCCTGATGAGGGTACGTCTGCCTCTCTCCTCCTCTCGCACTATCGGCATTCTCGGCCTGACACCTTCGCCCCGGCAGAGACTGAACCAGCACCTGTCGACCGCCTACCCCGCTCGCTTTCCCTCGACCCCCTCCCTCACCGCCGACTCGCCCTCCCCCTCCCTCATCTCCCCCGCCCTCCTCTCTCCCCCGCCCTCGCCGCCTCTCGCACCCGCCGCACCCGCCATCGAGCCCGTCGCCGCCCTCGAGGCGGCGCTGCTCCTCCTCGCGACGAGGGCTGTCGCGCCCGACCCGTGGGCGCCGCCGCCGCCGTCGTCGGTCGAGCAGAGCGAGGAGCGCGTCGGCGCCGGTGGCTCGAGGGGCAGGAGGGCATCGAGCGGCAGGGGCAAGAAGGGCGGCGGCCGGGGCGAGCGCGTGAGGGGAGCGAAGCGAGGCAGGGCCCGCCTCGCGAGCGCCGACGACGACGACATGCTCCTCGACGATGTGCGTCCCTCTCTCTCCCTCCCTCTCTCTCTCTCTCTTCTCGCCCGTCGTCGCTCATCGAGCAGTCACTGACAGCCCGTGCGCGCCTAACAGGACCCGCCCTCGCGCCCCGACTCGCCGCCGCTCGACTTTGACGCCGGCCCGACCTCGCCAACCCCGCCGCCGCCTCGAGCCGCCGACGCCGATGGGACGGGAGATGAGCGGGGCGGCGACACGATGAGCTGGCAGCTGGCGGACTGAGTGAGTAGTGCGGGTCCGCGCGAGGTGCATTGACGAGCTTGTTCTCCCTGTCGGCGGCGACGGCGGCGGCGATGGCGGCGGCGCAGATCCACGGTCTTGCTCCAGGAGCGACACGGCGAGTGCGCGTGTCCTTGTCGTGTTCCGTCGTCGTCTGTCGTCGAGCCGCGGTCCACGGCCGTCGGCAGCCCCACATGCGGCCGACCTCGTCCTCCCCTCCTCTTTCCCTCGCCGACCGCCCGCCGTGCAGCATGCAGCCCGACAGCGATGCACCTGTCCCGCCTCTGCGCGTCGCCATCGTCGGTGGCGGCATCGCCGGCCTCGTGACCGCCCTCGCCCTCCAGCAGCGTCTCGCCCTCGCTTCCGCCTCGGGCGCCCACCTCCCCCTCACGCTCACCCTCCTCGAGCAATCGGCGCGCTTTGCCGAGATTGGCGCAGGCGTCTCGCTCGGCCCCAACGCGCAGCGCGTCCTGCGCGTGATTGGGCTCGGGCCGGAGCTCGACGCCGTTGCGGGTGAGACGGCCGGCGCGCTCAGCGACGGCGAGCTGTGGTTCCAGTTCAGGGTCGGGCAGCGCGGCGAGGACGAGGGCAAGGTGTTTGCACATGTGCGTCGACCGTTTCCCTGCTCCTTCTTTGGCGGGTCGAGGGAGGGGAGCAGAGCTCACCCGCCGGTTCCCTCGGTAACAGGTTCGCGGCGAGAACGGCGGGCGAGGAAACGTTCACCGGTGCGCACAGCGTCCTTCTCTAACTGCGGCGGGCGTGAGCGAGACGAGCTCTGACTCTTGCCCGACGCGCGTCCTCGCCCCGCTCGCAGCGCCGACCTCCTCGAGCAACTCGCCCACAAGCTCCCGCCCGACATCGCCCGCTTCCACCACCGCGTCGTGTCGTACCGCCACACGCCGACCGGCGTCGAGCTCGTCTTCTCGGACCCGTCGCTCGCCCCGCTCGAGGTCGACGTCGTCCTCGCGAGCGACGGCATCAAGTCGCCCGTGCGCGCGCGCCTGTACGAGCGACTCGGGCTCGACGCCGAGCTGCACGAGGCGCGGTACGCCGAGTGGGTCGCGTGGAGGGGATTGATCCCGAGGGCCGATTACGACAAGGTGTTCGAGGAGGACGCCGAGGCGCCGACAAACCGCATGCACGTCGGGCTCGGGATGCACATCCTCAGTGCGTCCCTCTCTCTCTCTCTCGCCTCGTCTTTTTGTCCAGCGACCGGCTGGGCCAAGCCGACTTCTCGAGTCGAAGCCGGCCGGTCCGTCCGAGTCGCCCTCGAGCCTGACTCACCTCGTCGTACCCTCCTCACCGCCCGCAGCGTTCCCCGTCCGAGGCGGCACGCTCGTCAACCTCGTCGGCTTTGTGCGGGACGAGCAGCACGTCAAGCTTGGCGGCCACACGGGCCCGTGGAGCGAGCCGAGGCCCAAGGACGAAATGCTCGACGACTTTGCCGGCTTCAGCGAACAGCTCAAGAAGCTCCTGCGAGTGCGTCTCCTCTCTCTCATTCCCTCTCTCTCTCTCTCTCTGCCACGAGCCTGACTGACGAGCGTCCCCCTGCAGGCCATCGACAACCCGTCTGTGCGTCCCCTCGTCGTCCTCCTCCTCCTCCTCCTCTCTTTCCCGCGCACGAGCCTGACGCACGCTCGCCTCTCGCAGATCTGGGGCATCTTCAGCATCCCGCAACTTTCTCGAGTGTCGGACGACCGGGTCCTGCTCATCGGCGACGCTGCGCACGCGACGACGCCGCATTGCGGAGCCGGCGCCGGCCAGGCCATCGAGGTGCGCACTCCCTCTTTCTTCTCTTGCCTTCCTCGTCGCGACACGAGTGCAAGACGATCCTGACGGTCGGTCTCCTACTCACGCAGGACGCCCACATCATCGCCGCCCTCCTCTGCCACCCGTCCATCCTCTCGTCGACCGGCTCGTCCCGCACCCTCGCCATCAACCGCGCCCTCGCCGTCTACGAGCGCGAGCGGCAACCTCGCGCCGCTCGCGTCCAGGAGTGGTCCCGCCAGGCGGGCCTGCTGTACGAGTTCCTTGGGCCCGAAGGCGACGACCTCGAGCGCATGAGGGTCGCGCTCGAGGGGCGCATGGGCTGGATCTGGGAGTACGATCCCGAGCGGGAGGCGAGCCGGCTCGAGCGGTTGCTCGGTGCGGAGCTGTAGCGAGGGACGGCAGGGCCGAGAGGGCGAGCGCGAAGGTTGAGCTGCAAGGCCAGCCACGTTGCCTCGCCGCCGCACGGTCCTCGTCTTTGTCGCCGCTTCTCGTGACATCGCCAGGCGGTCCACGCCTCGAGCGAGCCTATGCTCAGCAGCGCCTGGTTCGGCTTGCTGGCAAGAGCTGGTCGAGGAGGCGAGAGAGGGCGAGGCCGGGTTTTGGCCACCGCACGCTCCCCTCTCGAGGTTTCCCCACCTTTTGCCCTCGTCCCCTCTCTCTCCTCGACCTCACTCGCGCGCGGCACCGCAGCCCCGCCACTGCGCCAGCAGCACGCATGCCACCAGCATACCGCCACAGCTCGCCCCTCAGCAGCCTGTCGCCCCTCTCGCCGTTCTCGCCGCGCTCGCCGAACCTCATCTCGCGCACCCACCTCCCCAGCGACGACACGGCCGGGCACGCGCCCGACGAGCACGCCGACCCCGTCGGCGACCAGGAGCAGCACGGCATGGCGGCGGGACAGCACGAGTGCGGCGACTGGAGCGAGGCGGGCGGGCGGGCGGTGCGCGGCCACTCGGCGCGCGGCGACGACGTCAAGACGGGCGAGGTCGGCAGCCCCGGGCTTGTCGCGGCGGCGCCATGGACGCGCAAGGACGGTCATGCGGGCAGGGAGGAGCAGGGGGGCGGCGCGCTCGAGCGGGAGGACGTGGACGAGGAGCTCTCGCCGACCAGCATCAAGGTCCGTCGCCTTTCGCTCATCGAGCACACGCAGGGCTGCGCGTGACCCTCACTGACTCTCGTCCTACGCAGCACGTCAAGGTGGAGGAGCAGAGCCCGGAGGTGTCGAGGGCGAGGCCACAAAGCGTGCGTCCCAGTTCGCATCCTCCTCCAGTCCAAGGTGCCCGACTGAGCGGCTCCTCGTCGTCGTGCGCAGCCGAGCGCTCGTGCCGATATCGACCTGGTCCCGCGCGACGAGTCGAGCGCGACGTCAAGTTTCAACGTGACGTGGCAGACGTCCGGCCAGTTCAACTCGGTCCGCTCGCCTTTCTCTGATTGCCCTCGGGACTCGAGCTGATCCAGGTCACCATTCAGCGCGTCGTCCAGTCGCCATCTCGGAACAACCGCCCACAAGTTCCGCCACTCACCCCTCGGTCGAAACGCGCCCTCGCCAGCTTCAGCATCGCCCGGTTCGCCGTCCACCGTTCGACGCCGCCACCGCCCAGCCACGCCGTGCACCAGTACAGCCTCGTGCTCCCCCTACCAGGCTTCGGCCCGCGCATCATCGGCACCCATGGATCGACGTGCCACGAGTTCAAGCGCGACAGCGGCCTGTGCGAGCTCCAGGTCCTGTTCCGCCAGGGCGGCCTCGCCTACGTCGTCATGACGGGCACCCGAGCCGCGATCGAGCGCGCGATCCACCTCGTCAAGGGCATGTTCGCGCGCCACACCAACTACAACCCCTTTGAGCGCCGCTACCTCCAGCAGCACGGCCTCGACTGGTGCCGGTTCGACGAGCGCAACCTCGAGTCGCTCGACGGCTACTGGCTCAACGCCGCGTTTGCCGAGCGCGAGTCGCACCCCGAGCGCGATGAGCCGCCGCGCCAGGTCCAGGCGTCGAACACGGCGCCGCAACCCGTCGACCACGGGTGGGGCAATCGGCCGACCTCGCGCCGCCACCGCCGCTCGTCGCGCTCGCGCAGCCCGACACGGGCGTCGTGCCGCTCGCCCGTCGAGACAGCCCCGCCGTCGATGCGCCCGAGGCGGTCGTTGACGCCGACGCCGACGTCGCTCGAGCCGCCTGCCGAGGTCAAGCCGGCCAAGCTCATCGACCGCCTCTCGTCGCGCTACGCCGACAGCCGTACGACCTCGTTCAGCACGCCGTACTCGTCGCCGGCGCAATCGACCAGGCCGGCCCTCGCCGCCGCCGCCGTCGAGGAACCGCCCTCGTCGCTCGTCATCCCGTGCGTCCCTCGCTCTCTCCTCCTCCCCGCCCATCACTGACTCTCTTGCTCCCCCTCGCGCAGGATCCCCATCTCGGCCATCGAGCGCTTCGTCGGCCCGAACGCGGCGGGCCACTTCATCACGCAGACGACGGGCGTGCGCATCAAGGTCGAGGCCGGGCTCGACGGCGCGACGCTCCGCCTCGAACTCGGGCCGGACGGCGGCGCAGGCGCGTCGTCGGACGGCGACAGCCTGAGCGAGGCGCGCCAGCTCGTCGACAAGGTGCTCGTCAGCGCCGGGCTCGTCGCGCCCGCGCCGAGCGCGAGCGCGAGCAAGGAGGACCCGCCGCGCGGCCGCCGCAGCTCGCGCGCTCAGGTCAAGACGGGCTCGTCGCGTCACGCGCGCGACGAGCGCTCGGCTGCCCACCGCGAGAGCGTCGTCGAGCAGCGACGCGGCGAGGAGGACGTCGGCGGCGAGTCGCGCGAGCGGGGCAGCAGGGAGGACCGCAGGTCGGGCGAGCGCGAGTCGAGCAGGAGGACGAGGGACATCGGGTGGGACGAGAGGGAGCAGGAGAGGGGCGGCGAGCGTGGCGGCAAGGAGGAGCAGGTGCGTCTTGCCTTCCTCTTTCTCGCCTCTCGCCCCAGCCGCTCTCGGACTAACCTGCCCCCCCTGCGCGCAGCACTACTCGTCCGCACTCGACCGCGACACCCAGTACCCCTCGCGCTCGCGCCCCCTTCGCCAGAGCGCGGCGAGCGACCAATACAGCACCAACCTCGCGCGCTACCCCCCGTCGCAGGGCTACCCTCCCGCTCCCGGCTCGACGCCCCGCACCCGAATCCACACGCCGTCGCACGCCGCCGACAGCGCCCACGCCCACGGTCACGGCACGCGCGAGTGGGACCGGGACCGGGACCGGGACCGTGGCCGCGTCGACGACGGGCGCTCGAGCGGGCGCTGGACGAGAAGGCCGCCGAGCGAGATGGTGACGTGGCAGGGGCAGGGGCAGGGGCAGGGGCAGGGGCAGGGGCAGGGGCAGGGGCAGGGGCAGGGGCAGGGGCAGGGGCAGGGGCAGGGGCAGGGGCACGAGGAGCGCGAGTGGGACCGGCGCAGGTAGAGCGAGCGGGTAGAGCGAGCGGGTCGAGCGGGCGGGCGAGACGAGCGAGCAGGGTGGGAGGGGGAGAAGGTCGTAGCGAGGAGCGAGCGGGGGAAGAAGGCGGGCGGAGCTTGGCGCTGCTGCTTGATATGAAGGCTTTGCATTTCTCTCGACGGTTACTTTGCTCGGTCGAGAGTGACAGGCTCTCACGAGAGATGCCGAGCTTGTCGAACGACCTGCTCCAGCGGCGAGAGATCTTTCGCTCGTGAGGAACTCTCGCTCTCGGTGCGGGCCCGTGCATCAAGCATTCATCGTCGTCGCACACCTCAAGCGGTACAACCTGCAACCCTCGCGCTCCCCGACGTCCTGCCCTCGCTCGACCGCGCCGCCGACCGTCAGCTCACGACGCACGCCTCGTCGCCGCCCTTGGCCTTGCCGCTCGCCTGCAGGGCCTGCATCGTCGCGTACCGCACCTTCTCGTCCTCGGTGAGGAGCCTGCGGGGGTCGAGGGCGAGTCAGGGGATCACTCGGGCGATGCAAGAGGCCGAGAGAGGGCGAGGCGAGGAGAGGGGGGGGGAGGGGGGGCCCGAGCGGGGCTAGACGCACCCCTTCTTGGCGCGCACCTCGAGCGCCTTGCGCGCGCTCTCCTGCTCCTGCAGCGCGCGCTTGCTCGGCGCACCGCGCAGCCCGGTGCTCGCGAGCGCCTTCTTGGCCGCCGAGCCGCTGCCGCCCGCTCCTCCTCCTCCTCCTGCTCGCCCTCCTCCCGCCGCCGCACTCGCCGCCGCACCTGACGCCGCCCGCCTCCCCTTACCCGCCTCACCCGCCTGTCCCGCCCCAGCCGGCCGCTCGTGCACGACCTGCACGTCCGACTCGTCGCCTGACGACGACGACGAGTCGAGCACGAGCGGGTTGGCCGACGAGCCGATGGGCGGCGCCGGCTTGGCGCTCAGGGCTTGTTGAGCGCGGCGGAGCGCGGCGAGGCCCGTGCGGGTGGGCGGCGGGGCGGCGGGGCGCGGTGGACGAGGGGCGGGAGGGGGGGGGGGGGGAGGAGGGGGCGGGGAAGAAGAGGGGGACGTGGAGGCGGTGCGGGGCGTGAGTGCTGCGCTGCCCTTCTTGGCGTCCGAGGACGAGGCCCACGGCGCGTCTGTCGTGCTCGTCCGTTGCACAAGGGCCCTGGCGCGCGTGATGGCTATGACGCACCTTGGCCCAAGTCGAGACTGCGACGAGCAGGGCGTCCGGGATGGTGCGGACCGGCGCATCCGCGTACGAATGGGGGGCTGCCGTGCATGCTGCCCGTGTCGTCTGCGGCTTGAGCTCCGGGTCCGTCGCCGACCGAGGTCGAGGCGCGATGCGTACGCGGGGCCTCCGCTCGAGGGGGACGCGCCGGGCGAGCGCTTCGAGGCGCTGTGGAGTGCGGAGGTGAGCTGGAGGAGGACCATGCTGCACGGGGCCTGTCCAGTGGGTGAAGTGCCGGCGTCGAGGGACGAGCACCGGCGCCCTACGACGAGTAGGACGGACCGCGTCCTAGCTC